ATAGACTTTGTTCAATAAAATATGTTAAACTAAACAAAACAAAATAAAACCCAAATAAAAAGCCCTGAGACTTATGTAAGATGACGTGTTCTTGAATAATATACTAGTATTTATTTCTCCTGAACTAGTTTTTGAAGAGTGCTGCTCCCATAAATAAATTTACAGAAATTAAAGGTACTTCACTGGATATTTTTGCACGATACCAGAGCACAGTGTGTCTTACTACCCGCTAAATTGAATATAACTTTAATATTCATAAATACCAAAATACTCATACTGAATACACTGGAAACGATAAACACTTACATGAAAATATGGAGATAACGAACAGTATTCAAGATCAAAAGTCCATTAAACAATTAATACAAAAAAGGAGCAGAACAAACACGGACCTCCAAAACATCAGAGTTTGGATCAGGTGCCATGGAGGAGTGAGCATCCCCTGCCCAGCGGTCAAACACACCGTGTGCTCCTCCTTGTCATGATCGTGAAATAACGGAAAAATCCGTCGTAAATCATTACATGTAACCAATGGACAAACAATTAGTATGAAAAACGTCACTCAGTCAGCATTTGACTCAATGTTAAAATTGCATTTGCTGACAAAATCATTGTATAGTAGCAATGGAAAAGCAAAGGGCAATAACTCTAAAATTTGCTAAAATTATGCTGTCAAAAATGGTGTGAAAAATAAACAATGGGGTGTGTTACAGACTGATACAGTAAGACAATGACATGTACAGTCATGCATGTTTTTTGGTAACCTTGTTGAAGTATTAATGCAAGTGTATATTGATGAAAATAAATTAATTGCATCATTTTCATGGAAAAAATAAAAATGAAATATTTATTTCGAGAGAAAAAATTGAATTTCAGAATATACACCTGATTTTTATAAAACGGTAAAGTAATTTCTATGAGAATTTGATCTAAAAATTATTTTAATATAAATTACTTTAAATCCTTGTATTCAACACCAAATCACGTTTGATCACTATAACTGTTTTGACTACTGCTTTTTGATCAATTTTATCAATACACGCTAAACTATCAATTATTTTATATGGAAAAAGGTAAATGTAAACATCAATGAGAAAGAACAAAATCAATTATAAGTCTATTATATCACAAAAATTATTTATACCATACCTTGCTGTTAGCAACAACTCTTAATAGCTCTTAACTTCGGCTATTTTGCGTCACCGATATTGAACGATGATTATTAGTTGTGACGTAACACGGTCTAACAATTCTTAAGATAAGACCGGTCATGTAAATATAAACATTTCTTTTGTTCAACAATATATAGAAGATATTTATTATTTTGTATTCAACACCAAATCACGTTTGATACTATTTTTGGATAAGGTTATTTACCATTTGCTGTCAGGATCTTAGTAAATTGCGGGGTGCAAAATGAAAGCTTTCAACAATTTATATTTTGACTTTGTAAGGTGACCTACGATGATGAAAGTCATATAAGGGGGGGTATTCAGCATATAACAGTGTCTGCTTTTCACATATTTTCATATTAATTGTATTAAAAATTGAAGATGGTTATCTAAATAAACAAATACACTCAAAATTGATATCTTACTTGATAAATCCATTTTTGATTTATTGTTAACCCCCACCCCCCTTTTCAAGCCATTAGCTTATCCATATGAAACTACAGATCAGTTTGTTTTACTTCATAAAAATAAAAATAACTCAACAATACTTTAAATTAAATTTAGAAATTACAGTACAATCAAACAGAACTTTGTACATCACATCTGCCTGAGAGAAACAACATCTGTATTGTATAAGTAGATTAATGAGACATTATTGGATCTAGATTTGAGCCATTTAGCTTCTTGATCATGAATATAATCATGCAATTACCTAATATCTGATCATGATATTAAGTTTCTATCTTGAAAAGAATGGAAAAGGGGGTGAAAATATTACCACATTTCGAACTTAGAATTTCTGGCAACCATACAATATTTGATTTTCATGTTATTAATATATCATATACTCTAGAAAACAATTTAAATACATATTTTATTGTTTATATAAATATTGTAAAGTACTTTGCATTAAATGAACAATTTCAGCATAGTAGATTTTGTTCCTTTGATTTTTTTAAAAAATGGCAACACTTTTTGTTTCAAGATGTGAAAAGATGAAAACAAAAAACTGTCATAACTTTTTTTATTTTTCAACGAATTTCAAAAAACGAAATTGTTTTGGAAATGGTTTTGAAGGCTCTTAAATATAAAGCATTGCTTTTTAATCTGAGAAGTGCCTTTAAAAATCATGTTCCATAGCTACTATACTGTATAGACCACAGAACTTTCGTAAGGATGACTTTAAAGGAGATTGCTGAAATCCTTGTTTCATAAATTTGTTTGTCAATAATTTACCTTGTATTAGAAATTATTCATACGTAGAGTATGATCTTGCATATCGAATCAACTGAGATATATAAACTCCGTATGTAGGTCAAGCTCCAGACAGCTCAGTATTACGTTACGCTACAACTCCATATTCGTATGGAACGAAAGTAGTCCTGGAGAATTGACACTCTATGGAGTTTGTATGTAGGTGATAAAGGTGTATTGCTGCACAAGTAAGGGAAGCTGACTATAGAAAAGTTAATGTCATCACGTTTATCATAGAGCTAGGTTGTTTAATTACCATTAAAGTCTTTTTCAAGTAAAATGTTCAAATATGAAACAGATGTGTCACACTCTGAAATATTTTTTATCTCAAGCTCACAAGGATATAATTATCATATCGACATAAGAATAGAAAGAACCACGCACGGTAGCTCCCGATTCCCGCCTAAATTTTACCATTTAATACCATATTGATGACAATATGGCCATAAAATCTTTGTTTAATACAAAGAACAGTTCAATAGTAATTGCTTAATTATTTTAATCCAAGTGCCAAATTGTAAACTATCACTTATTCCAGCTCTAGACTATATTTTCAACTGAAATCGGGCTATAAAACATCAACTTATTCTGAAATAGTCTTGGATATGAATAAATGTCTCTAAAATCTGTTCTTATGTTTTATGTATATAAAATTAAGCAAATATATTAGTAAAATATAATGTTTCATTTGTAAAGCACTTGGAAATTGCTGAAAAATAAGCATTTTTGTCTTTTTTTATTTACAAACATGTGCCCCCCCCCCTGTGAAACTTTGGTATGAATTTGTAAAATGACAGACCATGGGGATTTCTGTTTCACGGGGGGGGGGGGGGGGGGGGTTAAAAACATTTTCCGTTGATTTCTATTAAAAAAACCCGAGTTTTACAAAACCTTTAGAGTTACCTCTCGTTGTTTTTCCAAAGAAGGAATATTTTATGAAAATCCTTATAAATATCAAACAAATTTTAAAACTCATTCGAATATCTTAACTTTTGAAAATTGACTTGGAGGTAGGCGGGAGAACAATACTATCGTTCGCAGTTCTTACCATTGTTAATTAACAATGCATCAATTGTTTTTTTTTTTCATTTCACGCATAAAAGTTTGCACAAATTCTCTTCATATGAATACAAAAGTAAGTTTGCTGATAACGGGGCGCAATTGGTACTCTTGGGTATTCCAATAGATTGTTGGAAGACCTGGTCTCCAAAAACAACATAGATATTGTCAATCAGAAACTCGAACATCTTCTTTATTTCAACTTCAGAGTACTTGTGTGTACAATCAGAATGTTTTAAACAAAATAATTTTGCAAATGACCATGACAAGGTACATAAATTTACAAGTTCCATTATATTGAAAAAAACAGCTGTGATTGATATCAAAAAGTCTGGAATTGACTTTATCGTGGGGAATAGTTGTGTATAAAGTTGAAAAGTCGTAAGTTTTTAAGCTGTGTGAAGAATTATAGAAATGAATATACAAAATTAACCAAGAGAAACAAATCCAAACTGGAAAGAGGACAAATGCTTATCTACCCTTGTTATCAAAACAGATGTAGAAAAGACTTATCTTTGTTTTATTTTTCAAACATATTACAGTATACTCAACGTTCTTCTTATTTATATTAGAGGACTGGGGATAAATTATTTAAAATGATTATTATTCATTTATTATTAACTTTTCCGAAGCTTTACTTCTGACAACACACGGATATTGGTTAGAGAATTAATTACTTATCAATTGACGGGGAACAATGAAGACATGTGATTTTATCTGGTGCTGTACATGGAGCAGTCGGACATAATATAGACTTCGTAATACCAGATCAGGTGTGATAATAAAGATCGGATAATCAGATACTGTTATGCCGTCAACTGTGATAATAAAGACCCTTATAATCAGGTATTATTATTTTTCTGTCAGGTTGATAATACGATCCGGATTATCAGATACTGTTGTTATCCTGTCATGTGTACTGGCATTCAGGTGATAATTATCTTGTAGAAAAAAGACAAACACTGATCCAGAGAAATCCATTAGCAAATTTACATAAACACCTTACTTATTCAATGTTCATTTTTAATTAATCAATATTGATCGACATTTCTTCATGTATTGACATCTACATTTCTTAACACACAGCAAATTACCAAGTCATTCTTTTTATCGAGTCGTAACATATTTTAAACCTTTAACTTTGTTTGACATGCGTAATAAAATAAAACAAAAAAATAATAAGACAAAATAAAGATTTATAGAGTTTATTTCTTATTTCTTTATTGGCGATAAAAAAATATCAGCATGAAACATTATTACAATTAAGTAAAAATATTCGATTAGAGCAACAAAAGTAATTAAAACAATCAGGTAGCAATCAATTTAATTTTTTAAGCCACTGTATCAACAACGACCAAAAACAGAACAAAACAAAACAAAAGCAGCGGATCGTCCTCATTCGATCAGCAATCTAGAAAATCAATATAAAAGAACAAAACCTCTGTCGTTGATGATGAAATACGTCAGAAAAGGCAACCTTCTAAAAAATTTATAAGGAAAATATTTTTTTTTAATTTACATGTATGCTATCCTTTCCTTATTTCAACATGTAATCTCGGATTTTAGTTCAAGCAGTTTTAATGGAATGAGATTTTGGGCTGTTACGTAAGACACGTCTTTCTTTAGACCCTGTAGGGTGTACACAAAGAATGCTGACGTCACTCCTTGTACGAACTGACGATACTCCGGTAAGAATGTCTCGTTTGTCGTCTTACAGAAGTGAGTGGTGTGACATACTGCAATAAAATAAATAAACATAAAATACACACTACAATTATTATAATCCGTGTACAGATCAAAGTACCTTGCTTACTTTTTAGCCGGGCTTATTGCTCAAAGAGCAATTGCAGGCTTATGTGATCCTGTTCAAGGCAGGATGTTGACCCCATAGTCGCCATTTTAAAGTTACGTGCAAAAATATAGTTCTTACTCTCAACCGCTTTTGAGATAATACAAACGCTAAATAAAGCAACAAAAATAAAACGAAGTTTTATCTATATAAAATAAACATTAGTAGTAATGACTTTGAAATCTTCATAAGTCAAAGAACATAGTTCATTAGCGTAAGGATTTTTGATAATCAGTGTTACCGTAGTTCTCTACACATACGAGGTAAAGCAGGAGAGGGAACCAGACTGGCCTGTTTGTTTACATTCAGCTGCGGTACCAGATTAATTCTGATTCTGACAAAATTGGACCGTGGTATTAGGATTGAAAAACTCACTGTCAGTGTCTTATCATTTATATTGATAGTTTTAAAATAATTTTTTTATCAGAATATAAACGTGATTCATGTAAGAAATCCATTCTACTCTGTAAATGAGCCCGGCTCTCTGTACTTCTGAGTACTTTGATTTATTTCCTGTAAAGAGATGTCATAGATATTTTATTGTCATTGTGTATTATTATAATATACGCATGCATTCAGAGTGGACCAAGTTCAACAGTTTAAAAAATTAGAATCTGGTATAAAGTAAATGGAACAGTGTTCGATGACATAGTTTCCCACCAATTGTTGTCATTCCAATGGGCACTTATTGTTCTCCTTTACTAGTCGACTGTTAAATATTCCTATTCAAATATTTTCGACAAATCGTTTTATCAATTACTAATTGTTATTTCCCTTCATAAATCGTCCCGATATGTCCAAGTGAAATTTACACCATAAAATTTGCTACATCTGTTTAGTATTTTTAGAGCCATATTGTTTTTTATATTCCTATGAAGAAGATCGAATTTATTCAAGAATTTCTACATATGAAAACAATTGTTGTGACCTTCAATTCGATATTAAGATATATCGATTATTTGTTGTCAATTGACAATGGTTGTTTCCATTCTTATGCCGACACGTAGTGTCCGGTTGGCTTGAAATAAAGGATAATACGAAGTCTGACACACCTGTTTCATATTAGGATATTTTGCTAGATAAGAACGTTAATGGTAATCTAACTACCAAGATCTATGATAAACGTGATGATTTTTACTTTGCAATCGTCAACTTCCCTTGCTTGTGCAGCAGCGTGTCCTTATCGCCTGAATGCGGGGTTAATATCTCTCGGCTGATTAGCAAGAGAATGCTCTACGTGTAACATGCAGCAATTTCTTCTTCTAGGAGGAAAGTTATTTACAAACAAGTTGATGAAACCAGAATATCAGCAGTCTCGTATAGTCATCATTTCTTGCACTTTTTGGAAAATACGATCTATCATTGTGTCAAATGTTGACTGAAATTTTTCATACTACATGTAACTGTTAGACCATTATTTACACATTGAATTGTCGACAGATTTTCCGTTATTTTCTGATCACGAGAAGGAGAACACGGCGATCGTGATCAGCTGGCAGGGAATACTCAGTCCTCAATGGTACCTGATCCCCACTTATGATGTTTTATGGGTCCGTGTTTGCTTCGCTCCTAATTTCTATTATTTAATGGACTTTTGGGCCCGAATACTGTTCGTTATCTCCACATCGTATTTCATGGTCATTACTTCCAACTTATCCAGTAGTAAAGAACATGCATGAGTACGATCAATTTCTAAATCTAGACAGGCTGGTGACAGATAAATTGATGGTACAAAGATTTCAACAATCTTTTTGAAGTCAGCATTTTGTAACTCTATGGTCGTTTTAATGACTTTGTTATAAAATATAACCTATATATATAGCTGGGTGGTATTTTCGCTGTTTTGTTTAATAATATATGTAAGGCCTTGTGTTTTAATACTAGAATTGTCTGCGTAATTAATTAATTCGTAGGGCTCAGGCGGGTGTGACAGATCAACATAGGATGCTTTCTCCTTAACACACCTGATACCATCTCTGGAATTCAGGGGTCCTTTTTATGCCCCTTTCGCATATTTGTATTGTGTAAAGACTTTTTTGCGATCGATCCCTGTTCGTATCTTAACCTTTTAACTTCTTGTTCTCATATTATCGACAGCCATTTTGAAAATTTTAAATACCAAAAAATTGTGAAGACACGAACACATCAATATTGTTCAATGTGAAATATAAATATATGGTTTTTATTTTTGGATAGTGATGAATGGCAATATTTTAAAAAAAAAATAAATCGATTTGGCAGAGCAATAAACAATGTATTGAGTTTTTAAATTGAGGGATTTGCAGAAAATTTGAGAAAAATAATTTTGGTTATACATGTAGAGCCCTGTTCCAATAAATATTTTGACTTAGTAAAACCTTTTAAATAACTTGAAAAACACAACCCTGAATTATATCATAAAAACAAAATGAGTTTTTTTTTGTGAGATTAATTATCAAAATTAGTAACTACATGCATTATGCTAAGCAAATATTCCGAATACATGTACATATGTAACTAAATACGAAACGATAGTAGTAATTCATTAAAAGATACCTACGCTTCCAAGGTACTGGGTCCAGAATATCACAATGACCAAAATTCTGGAAAAACAAAATAAATGTTTTAAAACAATGTATTTTTTCCCTTAAAAAAAATTACTTAATAAGCATATTTTCTTTGGTTGTTGTTAAAATCGTGATAACACAAATCTAGAGGCATTCTTTGTTATACCCCCGCTTGAAAAGTGGGAAGGGTATATAGTAATCGGTATGTTCGTCTGTTACGTTTTGGGGTACCCATCTCTTATCCGCAACTCCTCTCATACCACTGAATGGAATTTAATGAAACTTTCACAGAATCATTATTACATATTGTCATTGCGCACCTTGTATTTTACTGTTCGATCCGACACATATTTTGGGTTTCCTATTGCAAAACAAGGGCACTCCCATTATATTCATATAGGAGGCGGGGGTATCATTTAGTGAGCTCATTGCTCACAGTACCTCTCGTTTGTACTACATCCCAAAGTAAGACAACAGGAGCGCAGAACCACCCAACATACATGATTACAAGTCCATATTTTGCTTTGGGAGACCCGAATTTTAGGAAGTCAAAATTGCATTTTGCAATGATCTGTTAAAGTACGAATAAATTTTATTCCATGGTATAGGAGAAGTTGTGGAAAACATATGGGTACCCTTCAATATTATAGAAAGAATGTCCACATTTACGGGAAACCCTAAATACATGTATGTGTCGGATCAAAAAGTAAAATAGGTGTAAAATGGTACTGTGCTAAAAAGATTCTGAGTAAGTCTCATTAATTTTCATTCATTTGAATAAGAGGAGTTGCGGATAAGAGATGGTTACCCCAATATAGACGGACGGACGTACAAACAAAGAGACATCCATATCATTATATACCCTCCCATGAGCGGAGGGTGTAAAAAAGACATTGGAATGAGAAATTGGTCAGTAAACTACAGATTTGAATGTGAACAATAATACCACAATCACAGGTATACAAAGCACAACAGATTTTTTTTAAATATCAGCCGTTGCTATGTGAGAATTTTAGCCTTAAAAGATGAGAACATGGACCCTCATTTTACGTACCGCCACATTCATTACCACACGTGGACATGACCAGATATCGTACAGCTTGTTGTAATCAAATCCAGGTATGGCGCATTTAACACCCTCCTCCGAGAGCTGGGTTCCGTACATCAGGGCGGGTAGGCCGTTCTTGATTGGGGTTTCCACTTCCGTAGTAAAGGGCTCCAGGAAAATGGTGGACTAAAAGTAAAATTCTGTTTATTTTACATAACTGGTTAAAATTAACAGGGGATGTTTGCTCCTCTTTCACACCTGATCCCACATCTGGTTTTTAGAGGTCCGTTAAAATTTATTTTACATTTAATAATCCGGAAGACAAGCCCCTATGCGTTCAATATCCAAAGAAGCAGAAGTGATGTCTGAAAAAGTTTGTCAATGGGCTGTTCAATAATCAATTAAAAAATAATTTTGTACATCATGCGCTCTAAAAGTTTAAACAAAGATTTATTTTTTTCATTGATGATTAATCTAGGTAATCTTTATTATCAAGAGTTAATTCACCCGAATTTTCAAAAACTACCAAATCCAAGGGGATTATTATATCGATTTCCTTTCTGTATATCAGCTCTACATTATTCATGGTCAATAATGGTAAAATAACTAATACGTTTCCTTTCCTGCTTGAAGGTTTATCCTTAAATGCTTTTGTGTCAATAGTTTCAACGATCTGTCCTCGAAGATCACTGCACTATCAGTCATTACCGTAAAAGAAAAAAAAGGTATCGATCATGTGCAGTACTCTTTTTCAATACTCACCTCATGGCTTCCTAATTGTAAAGAAAAAAGATGTTTTTTGTTGGTCTCAAGGATTATTATTGACGTTCTTTCAAAACATTTGGTCATGTACCAAAAATCTCGAGAAATAACGTACTGTGAATAATGCGCTTTTTTCTTTGATCATCTTCATGCTGACGTCACATCCTGACGAATGACAAAGCAACCCTGTTAAGTTGAACTTCGGTGTGGAAAGTGTTTTATTTCTGAAATGCGTCTCCAGCTGAAATTTTTTTTATCATAAATTATTTTATTCAAATTAATTTAATTTGAATTCAAATTAAGGCCCATTTGGGTGTGAAACTGATCTTTGTAAAAATATAATTGCACTCATCTACATACACAAAATATAAGTAATAAACACGTATCAGTTTCTTACCCATGTCAACTGCCTGAAAAATTTATCAATATCCTGCTTCCCGTAATTTAGTTTCTGGGGTATGTATCTATCATCATATACAGGAAACTGGTAATCCACTCCAAACACGAAGAAGCCGTGTGACGCAATAGAAGTCAGGACTGTGGAGTAATACTCCGCCAACACGTAGGTGTTTAGGCCGCCCAGAAAGTAAACCACCGGATAGTCACCGACCTCCAGGGGGAAAAACGCTGGAACATGCCAAAATAAATAAAAACTGTTGTACAAAGAATTTGCAAATGTCGAGTGAACAGAAAGGTATAATGAAATACATGTATATGGAGATATCAAACAGTATTAATTATAAAGCTCAATAGTCCAATAAACACTACAAAATAGGAGCGGAGCAAACACGGCCCTCCAAAACCTCGGAGATAGGATAGGTGCAATGGAGGAGTGAGCACCCCTTGCCTACCGGTCACACCCGCCGTGTAGCCCTTGTCATGATCGGGAAATAACAGAAAAAATCCGTCAATTCAGTGTGTAAATAATGGACTAATAATTAAATAATGGACTAATAATTAGTATGAAAAACGTCAGTCAGCATTTGCATGACTCGATGATAACTTGCATTTGCTGGCAAGGTCATTGTATCGACAAAAGAACTAACGAAATGATGACTTTAAACTGATATTCTTGTTTCATCAACTTGTTTGTCAATCATTTACATCGTTTTAGAAATCACCCCTGTCAACGCGCGATCGGCAACGCGGATGCGATCGGCAACGCGGATCAAAACATTGAAGAAGAAAGTATTGTAGGGGGTAAATTTAAATAGTTTTGTATGTGCTGGAGTGTAACCAGCTGAAAATAAAATTAAAAGACATTTAATTTAGATAATTATCTACAGTTTAGGATTTACCGAGAGTAAATTTGGTTCACAGTTTCTGTGCAAATGCTACCGATCAAATCGACAATGTTCAAAATATCAAATTTTCATGCTTTGAAATAGTTTATTGTTGTTATTACCTAAGAACATTTGCTGCTTTTGTTATGTAACGGTTCTTGGAAGTATGAACTAAAAGATTTTAAAATTAAAACTACATACAATATCTTTAAACAAATTTTAACTGGAAAATTTGACAACCGCGAGGCGATCGTCAACGACATGTATCTTTTTATGAAGCGATCGTACAACATAGAAATAGCGATCGTACAACACACGAAATAAGAATAGCACAATTCAGAGAATCTTGTTGTCAAAAAGTTTATTTTGATATACAATAGATATTTTACATTCAAATTAGGCAATCAATCAGTCATTGTTATACCACTTTAAATCTTAAATTTTTCCTACATTTATATAGAAAATTGAAATTAACTGCGTAGATTAAAGAGATACAACTGAAAAAGAGTTTGATGGCTAACAAATATGTAAAGTAGATTTTTTACCTCAATTTTCATAACAGTGTCACCCCCCATCCCCACCCCCCCAAAAAAACCTAAATATCTTAGATGGTTTATCATACAAAGTGTAAGTAAAGGAACATTTTCTAAACTCAAGATTCAATTTCGGAAATGTGTTGTGTGGGATGGCGGGAGGGGGTGTTATGATTCAAGTTCTTGAACAAACAAATTTATCCAAAAATTACCAGCTGCCTTACCCGGATTTGACTACATACTGCAAAAGGGGGACAACCAGTCTATTGGTTTAGCCCCCCCCCCCCAACTTCAAATTAGCCTCCCCCCTTCAATTTGCTTCCGACGTCTATGAAAGTAAAGTTTTCACCCCACCCCACCCCCGATTCTACATTGTACATGTGCGTGCATGATATTAAAATTGGCAATTAATTTTTAAAAAAAATAATACTAATAATGATAACAGTTTTCAGTAAACTAGAAAATACACTGTAATACATATAATGCTGTTATATTAACGTGTGCGTGTACAAAACATTTTTACTGAAAATATTCGGTAAAGTTGCTAGGCATGCAAATTCCTTTGATCGTTATTTTTATATATTAATACATATCTTTTTTTTTATTTTCTGAAAAAAATTCAGTTTTTGATATGTATGCCAACTCCTGTAATTGAACTGCCATATCATAGACAATAAAACCTTTTTTCTATATTGCTAAAATTCGGTCCTATAACACTTTATAGGTGTCTGTTTTAAACAATAATCAAATAATATCAATAATTTAAGGTTCCATGGAGTTTTAAATTTTGTTCTCTTAAAATACGGACATTATTCAACTAATATACAAGATAAATTCGCTCTTTCCCTCTCGAAAATCAAATGCTCGGTATCTTGTTCTATTTCGACAGACTTTCCACCCATACCACATAGCTATCTATTACTTTATTTCATTAAAAGTATTTTATAAATTTCAAGTTGCACGATCGCATGTTTATCATATTTTCTTTGTTGTACGATCGCATATAGAGTCGTTGCCGATCGCCAAAACGTTTTGCATGTGTTCACTTCAAACCGTTATTTCAACGCTTTCTGTTTGATGAAGAACTTCAAATCGGATTTAAAATTTATTATTTACCTATTTACAATTCAAATGTGCCTTTTGGACTGTCGGGTATACGTAATAAGGTAAGAAATACCACTTAAACGAGCTTCATGTGTCACGTTAGGGCAGTCATGTTCAAGGAAAACTTAACTTTAACATAATATATGGCGATTTTTAATGCTTAGAGGACTTTTATGGTGTTAAACATGTCTAGTGGCATTTAAAAAGTCAGAAATGTTGAAGGAAAATTGCGAGGAAATAGGACAAAATAATGTTTTATTTAACCTCATCTTCCTCATGTAGTTGAATTTAACTATCCGCGTTGCCGATCGCGCGTTGACAGGGGTGGAAATTGTTCATACGGAGCATGCTCTTGCGTATCGAATCAACCGAGATAATATAAACTCCGTATGCAGGTGATGAAGGTATATTAATGCATAAGTAAGGAAAGTTGACGATAGAAAAGTTAAAAGTCATCACGTTTATCATACAGCTCTGTTGTTAGTTTACCATTAACGTCTTTTTCAAGTAAAATATCCACATATGAAACAGATGTGTCAGACTCTGTGGTATCTTTTATCTCAAGATCACCGGGATATAATAATACCCAAAAGCAACAAAACTATTGTTAATATCTTCTTCTTTTGCGATATTTATATTTTCACAATATTCTGTACCAACAGTATGCAGTGGACTACCGTCTCCCGTCTCGCTGAGTGTGAGTTGTCCGACCCTTAGAAGACCCTGCTTGTACGGATTTCCATAGTCCACGTAAATCCCAGACACAATGACAGCTAAAGGAGATAAAGGGGATAGTCTTCATAATGTGTACCTAGTATTTCAATTTTGATTCAAGATGCAAATTAAAAAAAAAATTGTGACCTACCTTCCAGAAAGAAGCTTAACAAAACAAGCTTCATCTTGGTCAGTCTGAAATTTTCTTTTATCTACCCAGACACAACAACAAACAATGCAGGATGTCACATGCATTCTTATGATAACGGTAAACCTATCAATTTATATACATTTTATTATCTATAATGATCATTTACGTTGTCCAACATTGTGACCTCTGTCAATAAAAATCTTTCGGATAAACTTTATTTCACCCATTCTTGGAGCGATAAAGAAATCCGCAAAGAATTGGATAAAACATTATATTTATCACAAAACATGATAAATTCTGCGTATCAAGTTTTTAAGTTCCTCTATGAGTAACCCTTGTGGCGTAATGAGAAATTGAGGGTTCGAATCGACTTCTGGAGACATTCGGCGGTATGTAGCCCTTATACAGACGTAAATATTTACGTATTGAAATAAAGGTAATACATGTACTAGTAATTGCCTTTTTCAAATGACCTCAATCTCAATCTTTATCCAAAGCATACTTGTAATGTTTAATAAAAACCATAAACGCTAGGAAATATACTCGTTTAATGTATTATAAATGTTCGTGACGAATAAGTTCTGCTGCAAAAGCTTTAAATCCAGCGAATGTTTCTTCTCCGGCTGGGATGATGTAGGACGAAGGCGCCACAAAGCCGTGGAGGCCGGTGTCCCGGAGCTCCACCGTGTAGGAATACTTGACGCCACAGGCGCCCTTAGCGTAGTCGTCTGCCCCACCAGCCGCGGCGTCTAAAAAAAGGACAGTTTCTGCATCATCACAGTAAAATGAGAAAGGAAGTGAATGGTATGATTTAGATTGATGTTATCTTAGAAAGATTCGATTTATTTTTAATATAAGGTGCCAACAAAGAAAATTTATTGATAGAATTTCATTTGGGAAGGTTAGGTTAGAAAGAAGATTCCTGTGATCACTTACATAAGACCCGAGTGTCCTCGCCTACAGTGAATGATTTTCCGTGAGTATGACGGATAGCTGAAGCTGCAGTTCGTCCAAGGTGATCCTTGAAACATGAACAAATGATGACCATGTAAATTAATTTCACATTGCAATATTTTCAGAGCAGTCTTTTGTTGCTTAAATGAATAAGAAGGTGGATAAGACTAAGAATATCTGAATTATTGAAATATGATCTGTTATAAAATACTAACCAGATCGCGGTAGTCGGCTGGTAGGACGGGGGTATAGCCCCAGGGGTAGATCCAGTATTGTCCGTATGTATGTACGTTAAGGTACGCCAGGAGATTCCCGTGTCCGCAGAGGAACTTTTCCAGATTCCTGGTTTCTATTTCCGAGGAAGCGTGAGTGCCTGAGTGAACTTCTTCACAGGGATTGTGGCTCCCTCCATTGTCTGGGAAATAAAGATGGGTTATTACACACGTTTACACCTGTTTAAGGTCCATTGATACTCTGATAAGAGAGATAACTCTTAATGACATAAATGTCTATTATTCGTTTATACATTTGCCAAGTTGGAGTGTTTTTTTTTTTGTCCAATTTTGTCCCGCAAGCTATGCTATAAGTGTTTGTATTTTACCTATTAAAAACATTTCTTTTGGAAACATATTAATTTTCAAGCAACATTTTATGTAAGTGAGCAGAGGGTTTATGAACCTTAAAGCAATATGAGCTGCATGTTTGACATCGGAAAATGTTATTTCAAATTTGTAATTAACTAATTTAATGACAGAAAAAAAAATCATTTATCAACTTCGGTTGTTCATGTTTGAATTTTTTTATTAGCTTTGATTGAAGCAAAATTGAATTATTGTCGTCCTGTACAATAATGATTTCTTATATAAAACTGTATATTCGGTTGTACAGAAATATTTCTTCTGAAACATTTTTAAACTTTATTTTGGGCTTATTGGTCATAAGGGCTTAAATTGCATACAAATTAATCATAATAGCACATTTTACCAGCAAAATAAAATTTTCAAAGCTACAGCTCATATTGCTTTAAGGTACTAAATGTTTCACTGAGAGGTTCCCAATACTGCGAAATATATGGAGAGAAGGTGCATGAATACATTTACCCTAACTATCTAATTGTCACTAACACTTCAATGAAGTCATTTAATGTAATGTCAATATTTCCTGTATCATATCAAACCATTTGGTTTAACTTATTGTTGTAAGGACGATAACTTGCTTACTATTTCTTACTAGTACATGTACTAGTATTTTCTCCGAACGAGTTCATGTTAAACTGTGATTTTACTAACATGCCCCATGTGGGGGCTTTAGTAAAATAAAGTTTCAAGGTAATCTACATACAGTAGAATTTGATGAAATAAAGTGATATTTTGGAGTCAGAATCGCCGTTACCTGGGTTCCAGTGGTAAGCAAAGTTTCGGTTGAGATCCACCCCATCACATCCATGGCCAATTGGTCTTCTGTTCTTTCTCCACATCCTGTCCTATAAATAGCGAAAAGAAATCTCATTTATTTCAATCCGTTATATTCTGTTGAAGCCGAACGAGTCTATATGTATATATATATATATATATATATATATATATATATATATATATATATATATATATATATATATATATATATATATATATATATATATATATATTAATTAAGCAGATTGATATTTTAGTACAGAACATTTCGTAATTCAAATAAACTGAGACTCTACACAGAAGAAATATAAAATTAGGATCACACAATAATAGAGTTCGATTATATTTGTTAACATTTTTTGTGTCTCCGACATCACTGGCCGTCTGTTTTCATCGTTTGTTTGATTAAAGATTTATTCACTAAATCTTACATGTTTTCGATTAGAATTATTTCCATCTTACGTGTGTTTGATCAGATTTATTTCCATCTTACATGTGTTCGATTAGATTTATTTCCATCTCACGTGTGTTCGATTAGATTTATTTACATCTTACGTGTGTTCGATTAGATTTATTTCCATCTTACGTGTGTTCGATTAGATTTATTTACATCTTACGTGTGTTCGACTGTACTCGTAGCCGTCGGGGTTCACCACAGGGGCGAAGTAGAAATCAAACTTTTGTAGCAAAGTATCGATGGTTCGGTCGTGTGTTGGATTGTTTGCCATCTGTAAACCATAAAAATTTTTCATGAATTCACATAAAATTGATAAACAAATTCATACCGTGAACTCTATTGCTTTTGTATTTGAAAGCAAGTATTCAAAACTACGTAGATTCTTTTTTAGGGAAATTGGGTTGAAATTGGGTTAACGGTGATCATCTACGATATAGAAATGTAGTCACTTCAAATCACCTGATCAATCATGTACAGGACTGTGGAGACGGCCAGCCATTCACGTGCGTGTATACCTCCATCTACATAGATAGCCTTTTTGCTGGAACCAACGTTATTGCTTATCTACGAAAAATAAAATCGGAGACTGGATTCAATGTGATTAATTGAAATACTGTGGTTTCATCAATATTCGTTGAGCACCAGTCTTCGAGGAATTCGTTGTTGAGCAGTTCCACGAAATTAAATGTGCAATGAATTGAGAAATGTGTTATTAATTTGTACAGACAATGCTTTCGTCCACGAAATTATGTATCCTCGAAAACGTCTGTTTTACAAAATCCACGAAAATAGATGAAACCACAGTACTTTATTTTTTTCAGAAATGAACATAACACTAACTCATGAGTACTTTACTGCATTTCAAAATTTATAAAGTTGCTAAAGGAATTAAACCAGTGTGTGACTAAATATTTAAATCTTTTTTTTTCAATTGTGTCTGTAGTAAGAGGTATAACTCAATGTAAAATACAAATTTTCATTATACTCACCTTTACGTATTTAATTGTTCTCCCCTCATATGTTTGCCCCATGGAATGTACAGACACACGAGAATTAGAGGCCAGTGAATCCAGGTAAGAATTTATCTATATATATATATAAAAAAAATAAATTAAATTTTCAATTTTCAATTTCTGGTTTCTCTGAGTGGACAGTCCATTGAGCAATACGTACCGAGGCATGGTCATTGAAAGAACCAACACTGAACGAGGTAGCTCTACGGGAACGAGAAGGCTCAGCCTCGTCTATCAATCTGTAATACAAATGGTTTTAACAGAAAATCAAAGTATTTCATGTTAAACCTCATAAAATAGCTTACCGGTAGTACAATTCTCTGTTAACCTTGGACTTTCAGTGAGGCGTGGTACATGTATTCTCGACGTTACATAATTAGCGTCTGAAATTTACACAGCTTTCATTCACTGTTGAAATATACATCGAATAGAAATTCGAGAGAATATCAACGAGTGAAGGGATTATCCAATAACAGCGTATCGTACGACAAAGAGATGGGGCTTAAGTCATCTCATCTTTGTCAACAACATAAAGTTCCTGATGTTATTGATTTCTTAGCCAATGAGAATCTTTCGCCATCTGAGAGATGTCAATTACGTAGTGCCGATAATGCAACGCCTTACTGAAATTCCAAGGATGGCAGAGATTTGTACTAAATAGAACCACACATTACATGGATATAAAACAATTATTTTGCTTCCATGAACAGGCAGAACTGTTAATCTAAACTGACAAGAATTCGAACCTGACATCTTTCGATGAATAAGATTCTAAAAAGACTTGAAAAAAGTTCTTTCGAAGCTCATCAAAATTGTTGCAGTTTACCTACTTTTGGAGATCACTGATCCATTGGTTAGCTTTGAGACCAAGTGACTCAACGTCATGAACGAAGTTGGCGATTTGTTCAGGGTTCACGCGGACGTCAAACGTCTCGTTCAGGAACCTGGGGGATTTCCAGATGTCCAGCTGTAAAACAAATACGTGCATTGCAGTGTGATTTTATCGAGTTCAAAAATTTGTATTTCATATTTGAATATTGTAATTGTTTTGAAAATGACCAATCTCTGAAGAAAAGTTCTTATCCTGCTGAATATTGCAACTCCAATGCAAGTTAACTTGTAAGATGGATATATTTTAACATGTTCAGCGTTTCTGATTGGTTAATATCACTCACGTGGTATTTCTGAGCCAGTGACATCAACTCGTGAACATCGCCAATTGTTTTGGGCAATATCTGTAGGACACTATGGCTGAAATTGAAAAAAAAAAATGCTATGTATGTAATTCTGTTATCAGTGTCAATATTGTTACACACATTTATTTCATTCTTATCAATGAAAACTTTTTTTAAAAATAATTATATTACTGTATTTGGTTTTAGTAATTTCAAACAATGAGAGGACGGCGTTTCAACAAACAAGTTCAGACTTTTGATATCTATATTAAATATTTACAAAATTATAACTGTTTTCTATATTTTCTGACAATATGATAGTGAATTTAAGTTTTTAAATAATGTCATTAATTTTGTTATTGAAGCTTTAAACACATCTTCAAAGGGTTAGATCAGGATTTTCCCTCCAAAAATGGATCTATGGATATTTCTGAACTACACTATATATAAGTGTGTAAACAAAAAAAATCTCCAAAATCACCGATACTAGTGCATGAGATATTTTAAAATTGTTTGGATATACATGTATTCTTTTTTGGCAAAAATTCCCTTACATTATACTTTCTAACTTTTTATTGATGCCGCAAAGTCAGTACTGACATGTTTGCTGAAACACCCTGTACATGTATACTAGAGTACAAGATGTTGATTTATGAAATGTTATTTTTTTAACCCTCACCGAACGAAGATAGTACTACATTTTTGGTCTTCCCTCCTGTTATCTGCCAAGATTACACCAATTTTGAATACAAGGTAAACTTAACATATTTTACACTGAAATCAAATGGGACTTAGTTGTCGATGTATTGTACTAACTGTGTTTTACCCGTCATATCTCTTGGTTGGACTTGGGTGTGAGAAACAGGAACCGACCAGCACAAAGATTATTACGGATTTCGTCCACATTGTATATCTGAAAAAAAGTCTTCATAAGTTGAATCGAACAACATGTTCATATTAATTTTATGCTCATATTATTAAGTAAATAATATCTTTAAAAATATATATATATGTTAATGTTCAGTATCGTTTGTTTGAACTTACGTGTAGGCCGATTGCCCTGAGTTTATTAAGACCAGTGGAAGGATTGCATCACAATAAGACTAGGTCAATGATAAGATAGGAATATACACGTTCCTGTGTTATAAGGTGTCCATAGGTTTTATCAAATTTGCATGCCGGTATATATTTTTGACGCTTTGAGATAAAATTATAAATACTTCCTCTGCTGATACACATTTCAGAAAAGATAATTGCATGTTATTTCGTATTAAAAATCATTAGTGAAAAAGACAACAATAATATCATAGCTTTCTTCCATGATAACTGAAAAAGAACGACCATTTCCAGATTTCATTGAGGAAAAAAATGGCAGTAAAACTGTTCTGAAAAATGTTCAGGTAAACGGCAAAAATCCGCAGAATTTCAGTGAAATGATAATAACCTAACAATTCGAAGGAAGACGCCCTTCAACATTTGATTAAATGATACAGTGTATTTTTAAACAAGGTCATTATGTCGGCATTTGAATTTGTGAGAGTGTGGGGTTTAAACGAAATTATTGAAATCCTTGTATTTTCAACTTATTTGTCAGTAGCCTGAATCGTTAAATTGACCCTACGTTCATGTACATTATGGAACATACTCTTGCTTATGGTATAAAATGAGAAAATGAAATGTAAATTGTGAAAAATAAATGTAAAAAATAGAATTCCTTGAATGAAGGAAAAGCATCATTCTTTACGCTGCTTGAATTATCTAATAAAAATTACAATGAAAAGTGACAACCTTGAAGGAGACATTTAATTACCATCAAGATATCACCGCAAATGCTTCTGAAGGCCAATTTCAGAGTGCATTAAAATGCATTTCCCCATCTGATATTTAAACGAATCCACAGAAGGTGTATTGTTTTCATTGGGAGAGAGAGAGAGAGGGTGGGGGGGGGGGGGGAGAGAGAAAAGAAATATCTAATGTAGATTGTATCAGATCATATATATTTGTCTCAAGTTTTGTCTATTATTTCATCATTTTATACTTCAGAATTTAAAGGATTTTTAAAAATTATTTTCTAATCCCTATTTTCACTATCTGTTGAATGAAATGGTGAAAATAAATGTTGTCACTTCCATAGTTATGCCCCTTTTTCCCTAAAAAGTCTTCATTATTAAATTGTCTTCTTTTTTATATATTTTGTATGCGATGGATTCCATTTCCATACGTTACGTTAACTTTTACACCATTAATGAAATTAGGCTAAAGTAAAAATGTAATTTGTTCTTGATGGATTTCAGTGCTCAAATCAAGTATGACTGGGAGGTAGTGAAGAGGTCATGGTCGAGGATTGTACTCTTTAATTTATAAACTAATTGAAAATAAAACTATTCCAATACGGCAATATTCTAGTATACTTTAGAGTTCTTCGAGGTATGTTTGTTTCTCCATTTTTTTATCGGGATTTTTCGTTTCACTCCAACCGGTTCAATTATTACATTTTCAAAATGGCAGGGAAAGGAAAGGGTGGTCTTGACAAAAATAATAAATATGATCGACAAATAAGGTTTAGGGTTTATTCGATAGCATTTTTGAGTGGTAGATAAAAAGTAATATTTGCTGATGCATTTCACTATTTTTACCCCTCCACAACCTTTAGTTATTCCATTGGGTTCATGTTTTGTAGATTGTGGGGTGACCATGGACAAACTGCATTGGAACAAGCTCGGGTGTGTTTGATAAATGCCACAGCAACTGGGACTGAAACTCTGAAAAATTTAATTCTACCAGGTAGTTTTGTTTTAGTTGTTTTCTTTTAACTACACAATACAACAGTTTTGTATACATTTTACTCATCGTTTATTAACAAAAATAAATGTAGAATCCACATTTGTCGAGAGTTATGTCCCTTTGTGGCCATCTTGGGGGAAAATTCCATAAAATTGCCACAGTTAGATAAGTATGTAATATGACAAGATAAATTTTTACTCTGCATTTTAATTTGTAAATAGGACATGCAGGATTTGTCTTTATACACATACTTTAAAAGAAAGTTTGTTGTTTAAATACTGTGAATTTTCCACAGTATACACAAATGTTTGGTAGATCAAAGAGTTTTTTTTTTTACTTTAGATCTTTGGGATGAATTAACAAAGGGACACAACTAAATAATATTTTTCAAAGTGTGATTGGAAAATATATATTTCAGTAGTCAGCAATCATGTTAGTAGACAATGAGACTTAATTTCATTCTGCAGGAGTTGGATCATTTACTATCGTGGATGGAAATAAAGTGAAAGGAGAAGATGTTGGCAATAAGTAAGTTGTGTGATAAGTTTAATACAAAAAAAAATATGTTTAGCATTATAGCATACAATATTTTATTTAAGGAATTAATTGAATAGCTACACAATTTATACAATATAAACTGGGCTAGGTCAAAAAGCGTAAACTGACCAAACCCAGGCTATACTGTGCAATTTGGGTAATAAACTATTAAATTCCTACCTTAAATAATTTTATTCTCATTCATTTAGTACTATTAAATAGGTAAGTAAAACTCTTGTTGTCAAAAATGACTTTAAATTGTACGAAAATGTAAGTCAGGCTGATCAATATGTTTTGGATAAGTCATTTATATGGATATACTGAAAGGGGCAAAAACAAAGCTGGCAAAAAATTTCTATGTGTAAAGTATTGTACTGTTTACAGAAATATTTATGTTATTTTTTTTTTAATGAATTAAATTATTTTTCAGCTTCTTTTTGTCTCAAGAATGCATTGGAGAGGTAAATATCAAGTTTTGCTACCTTTCTACATGCAGTTTGATAAGTACATTGTATACATGTGAGTACTCATCAGTAAATTTGTAAGATGTCCAAATGATTTTATGTCTGTTTTTCTAATTGCAGTCTAGAGCAAAAATTGCAACAGAACTTCTGAATGAATTAAATGATGATGTCAGTGGAAACTTTGAAGATGAGGTTTGTTGATTTCAAACATTAACACACAAATAGAAATTTGTCAGAAAATTGAAATTGTTATATTTTTTAAATTTCAAATTTATAGTGATTAATTTTTCTGTTTAAATGCAGTAATTTATAAATATTGAATAATATATTTCAATTGATAACACTAGTATTATTACACTGTCTTTATAACTTAGTATCCAGAGTCATTACTACAAAATAATCCAGACTTCTTCAAAAAATTCACAATTGTCATTGCCACTGGTCTATCTGAAAGGTACGCAATAGTAATTAAAAGCTATAGAATTTTTTTTTTTATTAAAATATAGGCATTTTTAAAACTTTATGTATATACATATAGTTGATACTGAATTGGAATAATATATTTGATTACATATATGTGATGCATACTTGTTACAAATGTATGATCCTATTTGTATATAGGTTGCTGACATTAAGATATTTTTTGGTTTAGGGTACTTCTACAGTTGGCTGATGTTTTATGGAAGCAGTCAGTTCCTCTACTTGTATGTCGCTCCTACGGTTTTATCGGATATATGAGACTCGTTGTCAGGGAACACACAGGTATATCTTAACTAATCATTTAATTAATGTAATATTATTTCTATATGTTTCAGGTATCAGTCATCCTTAGTTAATTAAAGATTTACTCAGTGGATGATGGTTATCATTTATGACTGATACCATAGTGTTTGAAGTTTTTGTGTGTCAAAAAATGGGGAAATATACACATTTGTTAATGTCCATTTCGCGCCAACTTAAAACGGAAGTATTCCTTACTGTTGTTACCTTTATGTTTGACCTATCTGACTTGACTGCAATGTATGTAGCTCCAAAACTTTAATAATTGTTTTGTAAAATTTACCAAATAGATGAAGACAAAAAATTAAATTGAGTATATAATGTTAAAAAAAAGTGGAAGCAGCAGAGGACTAACCACTACTTTATTAGTTCTTTTAAATGATGTTAAATTTCTGTATTTATGTCTAATTTTAGATACATTGAATGTTATTTTTAATAATAGCAGTAGAATTTGACCTAAATAATGCTCAGTGTGGCATGATTAGACAGCCTCTGTTTATTTGTGCTACATATATTTGATGTTATTATACAGTGATAGAGTCCCATCCTGACAATGCACATGAAGACCTTCGATTAGACCGGCCTTTTCCTTCCCTCGTTAAATACTGTGACAGTCTTCATCTGGAGACCATGGATAAAAAAGTAAGTTTACAAAACCACAATATTAAGGTATGATCATAAACAGTGAGTTCTCATCACTTGTTCTTTTACATCAAAGATTTAAGGTTCAGCTTTTAAATTAAAGTTTTAACAAATGTTTAAATCCCTCTTCCTGCGTAACTTTAGTTGTTGTATTTTACAGGATCATTCACATACACCCTGGTTAGTCATAATCTACAAATATCTCCAGGAGTGGAAAAAACAGGTCAGATCAATCACACTTTTTATATGTAGGGATGGCAATCAATTGCAGAATTGCTAATCGGTTAACTGCAAAACGTTCTGACTGATTAACCGGTTAGTCGTATCAAGATATACATTTTGACATTTTCTTTTCATATATACAAAAAGGCTAAAAAGACATTAGAAGTTACATTCTGTTTATTATTTTGATCGAGAATTATATGTATATAAGAGTATACTTTATTTCAATTTCAATAGACAAGAAAAAATTAAGAAAACCATGCATCTTGCTTAAGAAATCGGACATGGATAATTTTCCAACTCAGATGTTAAAGAAGTTAATTCTGCATTGTCACCACAACTAGTCTATGTCTGAACTCTCAGTTTATTTACAATTTACAACGTTCGTTATAATAATATAATTTAACAGATAACGGCAAAATATAGATATACTATAATTAAAAGTGCTTAAAATGTTTTTAATATCATTAAAAAAAAAACCACACGACTATCTGGGTAACGGCATGGTGTTATAAAAACAGTAATTAACACTTTAAATTGACCAATTACCCTGTGATCTCAATCTGGAGAGCTATAATTACAGTCAAAACTACCATAGCGTCCCACTGTATTAAGCGACTCACTATCACATGTGACCGTAAAAATTCCCCCAACGCTTTTCCCTATATATTCTACCTGTATGAAACGACCACCTGCTTAACGCGACCAACGACCGTGATTTTCCTAACTATTTTAGTAATTTCAAGCAAGTTTACCTGAGTTTAACGACTACATAATTTCCACTTCCTACTTTTGATTTCCGTCGAGCGTGCTATGTTTTTGGTTCAAAACAATTACAGACACGCTTTTATTCCGATTAATAATTATATAATGCAAGTTTTACGAATAAAACAACATTTAAAAATTTATATTTTACTTACGCTTTGACATTTATTGAATAAACATTAAAATCTTAAACATAAACATCACGTTTTTTTCTGTCCAGTGATCATGTGAAAAAAAACAACCTATTATTAGAAAAAACCTCTGCAGCTTTTTTATACTGTATGAAAATATGTTAATAATTTCAGATGTTCACAATATTTCCTTATAATTAAATGACTCATGTGCAGATCAAGCAAATTTTTATTTCTTAACAGGACAATTGTAAAAACATTTTAGAGTTGAGCAGTATCTATTAAAAAGTGGAAATAAACAGAAGGTGTTATAAAAAACATTCAACATACACGTGTGATATTTTCAGCATTGTATATTTGAACACTGCAGAAAATAAGCAACCTGTATTGAGAGACCACCTGTCATATGTGACCTTTTTTCCTTTCTCCGTTGTATAGTCTCTTAATACAGGTTTGATAATTATTGATATTCTTAATTATAAGATGTGTAAAAACACTAAATAAAAATCTATGCAGTGCTTTCCTTTCTAAAAAAACAAACAGAAGGGATTTTAAGGAAACTGCACTCAAATTTACATATATTTTATTTTTTCCGACTAACCGATTACAGATTTTCTAACCAATTAGCATCGTTCCGACTGATTGATCGATTATCCGGTTACAAATTGCCATCCCTAGAATAATGTTATGCTGTAGATTCCTTATTTTTTTGCCAGTAGTTATTATCATGAAATGGCTCTTTGATATCAAATGGCAATAAATGATACCAGTAATTCAAGAATTGACAGTGGATCAGGAGAATTTACATGGTTTTCAGAACCATAAAAATAAAAGTGAGTTATTTTATTTCGAGAAATTAGGTTATATTTAATTCCTCCCTTATACTTAGGAATCTACAGTATATATTAAGTTTGTGCCCTGAGAAATCCAGCTGAGTATGGTCCATTTGTTTGTTAATCTTACTCTTGTTGAAATGAATTTGTGTTTCTCGTAAAAGCAATATACAAAATGGAAGTGGTGGCCTAAAAAAAAAAAGAAATCAAGCAGTCAAGAAATAATATATTTCCTTAGTTTTTTCTAGTGTTAGCAAATTGAAAAGAAAGAAATCAAAATGTAAAGAACCTATTAAAATGAACTTCTCACTCAAGGAGGATAACTCCACCTTCTTTATTTAGCCTTGGTTTGTATACACTGTTTATTCTTCTTTAGCATGATGGTTTACCACCCCAGAACTATAAAGAGAAAAACCAGCTGAAACAGATGATAAAGGAAGGTAAAGTAACCAGAAATCGTAAAATATGGCACTTATAAATCACCATACATGTTAACTCTACTGATTTAGGCAGGACCGCTTTTTCATGCAATCTCCCGCCTACCGATTTTATTCGTAAATCTACCGCTTTTCTACAAAAGTTTTGTGTAAAGAATTTTTGGTTTGTTTGGGTATCCATTTTTGAAGCCATATGTAGATCACCTTAGTGAGGCATGTGACTGTCAGTCACTGTTTTCATTTAGATTGGTTATCTGGAGAAACAATGTGGCTATTTGCATCCTAACTTGCCTCATATCATCTTGGGAAGGAAGGTTCTTATCTAAAAAAAATAATTATGCCACTTGCCAAAAAAAAGACAATGAAAACTATCTCCTCTAGAACAAGTTGGTAGACAATCTTTCATTCAAGCATTATTCTTTAACAGAGATGTTAATCGTTTTGAAATCAGATCATGGTCCAAATAATGACAGATAGAGCTACAATGTAGCATAGTTCTATATTTAGCTCTTGAGCCGCATATTTCTTGATATTATGAAACAAAAAGTATAACACTATGTAGCACTGCTTAGCTGCTATGATATGAACAATATGTTAAGTTTAGTCATAACAAGTGTTAAATCATTCTGTTCATTCAGTATGGCCTAGATATCATATCTGACAGCCAGACTAGCTGCTGTTCTTGAACACAGACCTGTTTCAGATACTTAAGGAATGTTTTTAAGTTTTGTGTGAGTTATTGGTGTGTGAATCACACAGACTTGTCACATAGGCATATTTCATGAAGCTTGCTAGTGCTTCATGAAAAATATGCATACGTGCAAGTTTGTGTGATTCACACACCAATACATTCACAATAAACTTAAAAACATTCCTTTTATTTACATTTTACATGTCTGGAAGCACCAAAGATATACCTGGTACTCAATATTTGAATTTCTCGCTGCCCTATATTGTTATACTTTTGCTAACGTCGCTGTTGCCTTATTGTGACGTCAAGTTAGCACACATTTCTCCGTGTATATTTCTATGCTTGAGTATACACGAAAATGGTATTCAAATCATAGTTGCCTTAAAAAAAATACGGCAAATGTAAATATTAGTATTAGAAAACAGTAGTTCACAAATCTCTGTCTCTTTCCTTATCATACTGTTTTCTTTGTTTTAGGTATTAGGAAAAATGCAGAGGGTGTTCCAGAAATTGAGGAAAACTTTGATGAAGCTGTGAAAAGTGTTAACCTTGCTTTAGTTCCAACAAAAGTAAGTAAAATACCTAATAGCATGTTGATGTGTGCTACACACTTGTAAATCGGAGTAATCGTTCATGTACATTTTAATTAATTAAAAGTTGTTTGTCTTTACAGATTCCTACAGAGGTTGAACAATTATTTAATGACCCATGTGCAATGAATCTCACATCAGAGGTAGATCAATACATGTATTATAGCGATTTTCTTTTCTATTTACTGTATGTGGATGTGTGTTTGTATGTTTGAATTTCTTGTTGCTGTTTTTAGCTCACCTGAGCCGAAGGATCAAATGAGCTTCTCTGATCACATTTTGTCCGTCGTCCATCCGTCTGTTAACTTTTCACATTTTTGACTTCTTCTCAAGAACCACTGAGCCAATTTTAACCAAACTTGGTACAAAACATCCATAGGTGAAGGGAAATTTAAATTGTTAAAATGAAGGGCCAAGGCCCCTCACAAGGGGAGATAATCAAAAAAAGACAAAAATAGGGTGGGGTCATTAAAAAATCTTCTTCTCTAGAACCACAGGGCCTGAAAAGTTGAAACTTAAGTGGAAGCATCCTTGGATAGTGTAAATTCTAAGTTGTTAAAATCATGACCCGCGGGGGTTGGGCGGGGCCACAATAGGGAATCAAAGTTTTCCATAGAAATATATTGGAAAAAACTTTAAAAATCTTTTTCTCAAGAACCACAGGGCCAGAAAAGCTGAAACTTATGTGGAAGCATCCTTGGATAGTGTAGATTCTAAATTGTTAAAATCATGAGCCCCAGGGGTTAAGCGGGGCGGCAACAGGGAATCAAAGTTTTACATAGAAATATATAGGAAAAAACTTTAAAACCATTCTTCTCAAGAACCACTGGGCCAGGAAAGCTGAAACTTATGTGGAAGCATCCTGGGATAGTATAGATTCTAAATTGTTAAAATCATGACCCCCGGGGATTGGGCGGGGCCACAATAGGGAATCAAAGTTTTTCGTAGAAATATATAAAAAAAAAACAAACTTTAAAACTCTTCTTCTCAAGAACCACAGGGCCAGAAAAGCTGAAACTTATGTGGAAGCATCCTTGGATAATGTAGATTCTAAATTGTTAAAATTGTGACATGGGGGGGGGGGGGGGGTATGACGAGGCCACAAATAGGTATTACAAGGGAGGAAATCTGGTAAAGAACGGCACCCCCAAAGTTACTCAGGTGAGCGATGTTTCCCATGGGCCTCTTATTTTTTATTATAAAAGTAAGTGGTCCCTGTTCCTTAGTCTGAGTTGTTTGGAGAATAAATATTTTTATATTTTAGAAAGAAAATTATCATTTATTTTTTTGAATTTGTAGAGCAAACCATTTTGGATTTTGTTAAGAGCTGTAAAAGAATTTGTTGAAAATGAAGGAAAAGGTAATGAAGTTAATAAGTATTTTAAGATTTCAAGATTTATATATGAGATATATTTAAGACAATAAATTATGATAATGAAAGCGAAAATTTTTCTCTCATGAACAGACATATACATTTTAGTTATTTTACATTTTCAATGTGATCACCTTGTTATAATTATTTTTGGCTGGTACATTATTCCTAACTATCTATTTTTAGGTGCGTTACCGTTACGTGGATCCATTCCCGACATGACGGCAGACTCTGAGAGATATATACAGCTTCAGAATGCGTACATAGAGCAGGCCAATAAAGATGTAGCCACTATAACAGACAAGGTCAACATGTTAACCTCCAGTCTAGCTAAGGTAGGCTCAGCCTGTCTCATAGTAGTGAGTATTCTGTGGTATCTTATGAAGCAGAAAGATGGTGTACACATACACACAAACCAGAAGCAATTTTTTTTCACTTTAAATTATAATAAGATGTAACTGTATGGTGCACTTTATTTACCTGTACAATGTTATTTTAAAATGATGGGAAAAAAAACACTTTCTTATCTTATCTGGAATACTTACTGTAAAATCTGAATTAAGGTTATCCGATCCTCAGCCAGGAAGGATAACTCCAAAAATTAATATTTAATTTGAAATGCATCAAAATAAAGCTTGAAAATGAATTTTTTTCATGCAACAATTTTCATTTTATTCATCTTGATAAGATTCAAGTTTTTTGTGAAGTCTTAGAAAAGGTCTTATAAAATTGACATTTGTACCCTATAAAAGGAAAAAAAATACAGTTTTAGAGAATAAGATTTTATTGAATCCAGCCTTAGATACCAATGCTTATTAGCATGATATGAAAATAAGAAGTGATTTGTGGTGTCTTGCAATGATAGCAAAAGCCTTTTACACCATGTATTATAGAGTACATGACAGAAATAGAACACAAAAAATACCAAATAAGTATAAAAATCATCACAATTTCTCTGAATGCCTGGATACCTATCATTTTTTAACCTGAAATATAATTGTTAATCAATTTGCAATTAGAAAATACATTGCTGATATTCCAATTCGCTTTTTCTGCAAAAATGTTGGAGATTTGACAATTTTCCTTATATAATATGATTAAATTTAATCTTTAACTTTAAAGAAAAACTGTGGATAAATTTACACAACTTTGTGGATTCAGAGATACTTTTATGAATATTTTTGATTACTTAACTGCTAATTTTATAAACCTGAGGATCGGAGTACCTTAAATTATTTGAAGTATAAATATAGTTAATTTGATATTTTTTCTGTGATAATAGAATTGTGCTAAAAATTTTAATTACTCTGCAAAAAACTTGTGAGGAAGCTGTAATCTGTCAATAATTTATGTACGTGTCAGATAAAATACGAGAATATATTACTTTTTGAGGAGCAGACTGATATATTTTATCAAATGTAAGATTCTGTTGGGCGTGAATCACTGTCCTGGTTTGTTTTTTTTTAGGGGCTAGAGCAGAGGGACTTGGGGCCTGAGTTTACACATGTAGGCATTTAATTTTAACTTGTTACCCATTACTTTTAAGTTGACCATTGCTTAATCACTATTACCAAACATATTCTCTGTGTCACACAGTTACCAACATATCTGCAGTACAATGTTGTAGAAAATATAAAAATAATTGTTTTTTTTTTTTGAAAAACAGCAGTCTTTTCTTTCTAAGTAATATGTTATTGTTTTCTTTATGTGACAGTATTTGTAAATAGCTGGATTACAAACATAGATAATATGTTTTGAATGCTATAGTGCTTTGATCCCAGTTCATTCACAGTTTGCATATGCTGTTTTAAGTTTATATTAAAGTATATACATGTATTTTGAAATGTTAGCAGTGAGCTTTTCTGATCTCATCTTTCCTTTGTTTTGAGATTTGAAATGAAAAAATGAGGCATGTACCTTTGTATAGAGTTTGTTAAATGGACTAGTTTATTAATTTGACTTTTGCATTTAATTTGGGTAGATTTTCTCCTTTTAATTTTAAATATGCTTTTCCAACAATTTATGCAAACATACCCTGTATTTACCTAAGAATTCATGCATTTAAGCTGTACTTTTTTGGACAAGTTTAAGTTTTTGTAAATATGGTGCATTCTCATTAAATACAGAGAAATGGAGGAAAACAGAATGAAAAATTCTGCGTATGAACTGAACAATGCTTTAGCTCTATGGTGTTCTAGCTTTATGAATGTAAAACACTTTGACAGATACATTTACATTTTATATAGATATATCATTAACATATGTCTCATTCCACAATTAATATCTGTATAAAAGAAGCATACTCAGAGAATTGTGGTTCCCAGCCTCATAGGTCTTTGATATCCCTGCAGTTTCATGAAAACGGGGGGGGGGGGGGGGGGGGCAAACAATGAGTTTATATAGTTAAGTAGAATCTGAGTACAAAGGTGAGCATTGTGGTCCATTAGGCTTGATGTATGTACATGTTATCTTTGCAAATGTTTGCTGTATAGGTCAGCATGGCATGCTTCCATTCCCAAGGCAGACTTGATTTATTATATGGTACATGCCCTTCTCTTTATAATGCCCATCAGTCATGTCACCCAGGGCCTGTAATATCGACTTTGAGGGCTTTAATCTGATAAGGGTTGATGTGGAAGGGGTATTAAATGGAATTGGTTTTGCTGTATTTACTTTGTATTGTACTTTAAATCATTCACAAAATTTATTTGACACAGAAGTTTTGTTAATACATGTAATTCCTTAAATGAAGAAATATCTAAACTTTGTCATAATGTTATACTATTCAAAATAAAAAATAAGAAATCCAATTTGGCCAATGCATGCTGAAAGGCCATTATATATACAAATGTATTTTGAAGATTTTCAACAGGTGTAGAACAAAGTATTTGTCATCTCATTGGTTTACTTTTGTGTTTTATTTAGAGAAAAAGACAGCTTGTGTTTCTTCGTTTTGTTTTATTTTCAAATTTTACCAGAATTGTTGATTTAATTGAATTACAAAACACACCCAATAAAGATTGGTCATTTATAGATTTCAAAGGATTTGGTTCTTTTTATAACTCAATATTTGGTAAAAATATATGTGAGAAATAATATTACTTTAAGCCACAGACCCTGAATAATTTAATAAGTTTACTTTTGCATTCAGTATTTGAGAGAGAAAATACTGAAATTTAAAAAGAGGTAAAGAAAATGTATTTGACTTAATCATGTAAGTTCATGAATGATGAAAAGATCCACAAATTCTTTTGTATGATGAAAAATGTCACATTTCCTCTGGTATGAGTTTCACATTTTCTCTCTTATGATGAAAAGTTTCACATTTTGTCTTGTGTGATGAAGTTTTCACATTTTGTCTTGTATTATGAAAAGTTTCATATTTTTCTCTTTTAACAGGGTGTCTCAATATCAGATCAGGAAATCAAATTATTTTGTAAGTTGTTTTCTGTGTTTACAAAATAAACTTTTCATACAAGCCAAACAGAATTAATCTGTGGTACATTTATTTATTGTTTTTTAAGTTTTATATATTTAAATCCACTGAATATTTCTCCTTTATTTCTTAAGAAAACCATTGCTGTTTATCAGTTCATGAACAACACTAGGCATAAAACCTGGACAGATCTCTTGATCAGTGGCTGTTCCATCAATAAAACATACTATGATGTACATATCAATAATACATTAATTGATCATTTTAATCCTACTTTAAATGATTATTTATACAGATATCAATATAAACAATAAAATGTCTTTCTTTGGTTGTTAGTACGGGAATTAACATCGCAGCTATGGCAGAAAAAAATTCATTACCCGCGGGTTATGTATGTTCTAACAACCAAAGTGCAATTTCTGCCTTGCAGGTAAAAATGCTGCGTTTGTTCGAGTCTTGAGGTGTAGAAGTTTAGCTGAGGAATATGAAAGTCAAGCAGTGAACACTCAAGACATTGGTAACTCTTTTTGGGAACAAACTCACTGATTCAGTCCATAGAAATATTTGATGATTTTCTCTCCCCTTCTTATTTTTTTCATGAGATGAAACCAATTTGTACCTTACATTTTCTTTACAATCTCCATGTTTTTCTGCTTAGAACATCCCCTACCCCTATCTATACAAATGCATGTACAGTGTATTGTTTTGTAGTCTGAGTGTAAACGTTGCATTCTTATCGATAAAGCATCTTTTACAAATCTCCTTTTCCTTTGAAGGATCCCATCTTGAGGATGAGGATGGGGAGAGTGAACTGATTTTTTACCCCCTTCTGAGGGGGGTCAACAGGTTTTATGAGGAGTACAATCGATACCCGGGGGAGGACAATGATCAGGTGGAACCCGATGTTCAGCTTCTCAAGGTCAGTACCCAGTATTACCATTGATAGTGCATTGTACAACTTTAGCTGCTCAGCTATTCATTAAAACCTTAATGTCACAAAAAAATAGAATAACCTGCATACAATCATTAATAAGTAAGTTGAGGTTTTTGTATGCATGAGAACTGTATTTTCAATTTAAGGAATCTACATTTTAAAAAAGCTATTCCAGTGAACATTTATATTTTTAGTTGACTGGATCATAAATTTCAATTCTTTGGTTATTTTTAGGGAATTATTATCAAATTAATTCATGAATGGGGATTAACATCCACTGTCAAGGAGGACTATATACATGAAATGTGAGTAGACAAAAATTAACATTTACTAACCATTACCAAGGATCTGCTATAATGTGTTGGTTAAAGTATCTCAAGACAAATTTGTATAGTCTTTGCAATTTCGAGCCAATAAGATCCAATGCTCCGAGTTACGGAATAAACATTGCACATTAAGCAGTGAGTTTACATCCTGTCTTATTTGAGTTGCTGTGATAGTTGTTATAGTTTGATTTGTTTGTGTTCTAGATGTCGTTATGGTGCCTCAGAACTCCACACGGTGGCTTCCTTCATGGGTGGATGTGCCGCTCAGGAAGTGATCAAGATAATCACCGGACAGTTTATCCCCCTAAACAATACCTTTATTTATAACGCTGTCAAACAGACTTCTATATCAGTAACACTGTAGAATCACCGACTGTCGGGCATTGTTTTATGTATGTGCCTAGTTTTACCTCAACTTGACACTTAAAATTAGTGCTGCAGAGATTTGCCAGAGGAATTTTAATGTTCTTGTGCAATGGAATTGCTCTATTATTATTTATGTGATTCAAAGAAAATTTCTATCAGTAAGTACCTCATGCTTTATCGTATGATACATGTATAGTTTTGTTGTTTTTTTTTTTATTTTACTTTATGAAAATTTGGACAATAACTTTACAATGTCAGTATACAGAAATTGATGAGCATCCTTTCCGATGATGAAGTCGACGTGATCCCAGTTAGGGAACTCCTTCTGGTGTACAATGTTTGGTAAATTGTCCAGGAGGTATTGTACATCAGTCCTATCAGCCAGGAAGTCATTGCCCCCGTAATACATAGCCACGGGGACCCTCATGTTCCGGGGGTCATACTGAGGGGGTGTAGTCTGAAATACAATCAGTCACATCATCAGATTTTTTTTAAGTTCAAGTCCGATTGAAAAATTGAAAAATTTGACAAATTCAGAAAATATTTCTCATAAAAAAAATTTGGTTTTGTTGGTTTTTGATATTTTTTTTCTCTGAATTTTTTTGTATAATACTGAAAATACCCCTTTTTACTGACGAATAAGTGTGACTGGATAAAATCACCTGATTGTAATGTTTGAGATTCCCCTCTGCTCCGTAGTCATATTTCTGAAACTTGTCAGCCTCCATTTCCTGAAAGTAGAGACAAAAAATTCATTAGATTTGCAAGTATTCAATGCACAGTATCAGTTTTCTCAACATATTAAATAATCTTAATCTATCTGGAACAACTTATTCTTGTTAAGGACTTCAAGGTTTTATACTAAGAAGTTACTTGTACCTACTTGGAAGAAATGGATGATGTCTTTGGCTGAAGATCCTTCATTTGAATGAGATGTGTAAACTGGCACTCTTGTCTGCAAAGGAATTGTAAATGGACATACATGTACACTTGTAACTTTTTTTGGGGGGGTTGGGGGTTGGATGTCAATAGATGTAAATCTTCAAAGTTGATAAGTGAAAAAAATGTAGACTTCAATATCCTTGAAGACATGAGTAGTCGCAAAACTATATAACAATATACTAGCAAATCAATCCAAAATCTATACAAGGGTCCTCAGTATCGCAAACTGTAGCAAATTCGAAGTGGGTTGGGGGGAGGGGGGTACCAATTAGCTTTTCCGCCGAAAACAATATACATTTTCCCCTTAAAAATGTACTATATACATGTAATTGTTCTGTGTTTTCCTCGACAAAATGCACTATATAATTGTTCTGTGATCTTGTGTAAACGTCATTTCATCACGGAGCTACCTTAGATAAGATTTTTAAGTAGGTAGAGCATACCATGTTAAGATTCCGTGTGTCCCAGCCCATTATGACGGAGGACAGCCCGTTACAGATGTACTCCGTAGGTAGAAGGGTACAGAACACATCGGCGTACCACTTAGTCAGGGTAGAATTCTGATCGAACGATTTCTTACCAAGCACCAACTCGGCACCCTGTTGATCATCAAATTGGAATGCTAGATACAAGTATTGTCTTATCGATAAATTGAGAATTTCTCATTAACATTTCTCAAAAAACTGGATACCTTTTGCGTGAGCAGGGGCTTAAGAAAACCCAGAAACCCTTCAATGTGCGTCACCTTGGCTATCGGGGCCAAAGATATGAACAGTTTGATCTTGGAGGCTAAGTCTTTGTCCACACTGAATTGTGCGTTAGCCATCAGAGTCCCCTGTGAGTGACCTATGTAGTATATAGTGTCGGCCTTAGTAACGTTCAGAACGTAGTGTATTACAGCGGGAAGATCGTACTCGGCCATCTCTTGCCAGCTAAAACATAAGAACTACATTTTCTTTTATAGCGATTAAGGATTAAGTATCTATGTGTATGTTTTTTTTTTGGGGGGGGGTGGTGAAACATTTCTACAGTTTCATCCATTATGGTTTTATATATTTGTCTTTTACCATAACACTACAGATCCCGTAATGCAAAAAAGATGCAATTTACAGCGCAATATTTTTTACGCACTTTTGGGGAGAATTTCTCCACTTTCTAGCATCGGTCAATTAATTACCTTTCACTCCCTAATTCTAAGCACATTATAACTAATCCGTATATTTTATCTATCTCTCAACCCTTTATATTCGTCTCTACAAGTGATAACCTCGCTTGATTAAAATTCTTTGTTAGATTGCTGAAAATTCACTTCAAGCGAGTTTATTAATTGCCTGTTGAGACAACTATAAATGGTTGAGAGATGGATAAAATATGCATATTGGCTACAGAATGTGTCTAGAATTGGTAGTGAAAGGTAGTTGATCGACCGATGCTAGAAAGTGGAGAAGTTCTCCCCAAAAGTGCGCAAAAATATTGCGCCGTAAATTGCACCTTTTTTGCATTACGGGATCTGTAGCGTTATGGTAAAAGACAAATATATAAACCATAACGCTTCAGATCTGCAGCTAGTGAAAACATGGAATCTGGTAAACAAAAATTATATGAATATAGGAGTTTACAAATTTGGGCTTTACTAGACCTAATAAAATGTACAAAATAATAAACCATGTTAACTGTAACTACCTCCAACCCCAGAATTCCTCCTGAGATGGGTTGTACTTTTTGTGCGTCATGGAGTAGACATTTCCTCTGCTGTTAGGGAGCCATACGTCGTAACCTGCGTCTGCCAGAATGAACCCGAGGCTGTTGTTGACCATGTTAATCAGGAAACAGTCCGAAGCCCCGGTCAATCCGTGCTGGATCACCACCACGCCTTCTCTTGCTTAATAAAATGCAATTATAATTTTTCGTTGTTAGTGAATCTTCGGCCCGCGATTCCTTCGGAGACTTTTACCCCACAATAAGTCCAGGCATTTTGACATCATTGACGGTTGCCTTTTTTTTTTTTTAAGAATAAAAAATATACTTGTACATTTTCTTACTTCAGTTGCTCTTATTCATTTGCAAAATACTGGTAATTTTGTTGAAAACGTTTTGATTGTACAAACAAGTACTCTTAGGCTGCTATTAAAAATGTTTTAGTTTCTGATTCACCGTGTATATCCCAACATGCGGGGTGTATACTATGTTGTGCGCGGGGTGTATGCTTCCTAAGCGAGAGAAAGGGGGTCAATGTAGGTTCTTTGTCCATTTGCTCAACTTACGGATATTTTTCGCCAGAAACCATATGCCTACGGAAGAAAGCATTATCTAAGGAGTATATGGATACCTATGAAACCACTGGACACCTTCTAGTTTTATCAAACACCTCAACACAATTCCGAGGATCGGAGCAAGATTGACGCTACACTGTGTTTATGATCAAATATCAGAAGAAAGCTTTGCTTTATCATCACTTTTACATTATTGTTAAATTCATGATTACTTTATAAACGTTTGTACAAATTGCCTGTTAATGAAACAGTTCGTATATAAAGATATTGACGAAAAATCAATGTTGTACGCGGGGTGTATGCAACATGTTGTACGCGGGGTGTATACCCCATATTTTTCTTAGGATTGTTAGTGCAAAGTATCTATGAAAATATTATTTACACAGGATTATAAGCGACAGGTAGTGTTGATAAAAGACCCTAATACTAATGCCAAACCAAAAAGTAAAGTCCATAATTATAAAAAACAATTTAACTAAATTTTTAAAAAATCAAAAGAATAAAAGAAAAACAAAACAAACTATCATATTCAAACATAATAGGCTCTAGATATGCAAGGAGCGATTGTTATCTGAATTCATGCTTCACTATAGATGGCGCAATGGTGTAAATCTACGTAATCATAAAATATAAAATCTCTCCAAAGGGGGCCCTCGCCCCCTATTTCGCCTGTTAAAAATAATAGAAACACAACATAAATGGTGTATTATGAATAAATCTCTTTTTTGTTTCTGCAACTTTTATGTTATCAATACATATAGCATTTATGACAGCGATGTAGAATCTTTTTTGGAGGGGAGGGGGGTACCTGAAAAAAAAAACTTGACATAAGTTGACTAGCTATAAAAAAAGGGGGGGGGACTTATCGAAACTCAAAACTCCTATTTCAGATGTGGTTGAAGGTCCAATCTTTTTTCAGGAACAACTCTCCTTTTCTTTTTTACTTAAACTTATTACATATCATTGTTTGACTATGCTGCCACAAAGGCGGGGGAGGGGGGGCAACTTGAGTTTCGATGAACATTTTCTGTAGTGAAAAGTTGTGTCTGGAACAAAAAGGGGGATGATACGTATAGTATATTAAATTAATTTTCCTTTCAATTTTTGCAATATTTGGACTCATTTTTCCTTATCTGAAAAGATTTCATATTTTACAAATCACAATAAACATGTAATACACATTTGTAATAAGGGACAATTTTCTGGGGGCATGCACAGTTGAAAAAAAACTGTTGTGGGTACAATTACAATTTTACGTTGACGTGTAATTAATATTAATTAATGTTCGTCCCTCCTCTACTTTATTATCGTATATACACAATATATTTTATTCCCCCCCGGAAGGAAAAAAAAAAAGTGACCTAAGACACAAATACACCCTCCCCGGGCCCATTCCTAGAAAATATGTACTTCGTACAATACAATGCCTCAATATAAAAACAATAGTTTACTGCCAAATGTGACCTCCTGGGGTCAAAGTACACAGCATATAAATACTACATGATGGAAAACATTTTTGTAGTGTTTATGACATTACAAAAAGCTAAATATTTTTTATAAAAGAGGTGTGGAGATAACGAACATATTCAATATCAAGTCCATAAAACAATACAAAAAATAAGAGCAGAGCAAACACGGACCCCCTAAACATCAGAGGTGGGATCAGGTGCCATGGAGGAGTGGGCATCCCCTGCTGACCGGTCACACCCGCCGTGTGCTCATTGTCATGATCGTGAAATAACGCAAAAAATCCGTCTTCAATTCAGTGTAAAATTAATGGACTAATTATAATTGGTATTGAAAACGTCAGTCAGCATTTGACTCAATGATAAATTGTATTTGCTGACAAAGCCATTGTATCGACCATAGAACTTACGAAATGATGACTTTAAACGAGACTGTTGATATTCTTGTTTCATCAACTTGCTTGTCAATACTTTACCTCGTTTAAGCTCTTGCGTATCGAATCAATTGAGATATATACACTCCGTATGCAGTATCATTAAAAAATTTGTTGAAACGGGTTAAACAGAAATTATGAGAAAATGTAAAATGTTCAAAATGATGCATGAGTGAAGCATTTATTAAGGAATGATCTGAATAAGGTGTCTTTAAATCGAAGTGATGAATTGTTGTTTATCACATTAAACAGTTAAACAAAGCACCTGTACATTTACTTCCATGTGCATGCAACGCCAAAAGTGCGATGAACGTGTATCAATTTTTTCCCCGTACATCGAATTCATAAACCTGACTTTGTGCTATTAAAAAACTGGAGAATAATTTAAAGAATAAATATAACTTTCACAAAAGTCAATTGTTAAGAATTTTTTTAATGATATTTCAGACAATGATACTATAGAGTAAAGAGAGGGGTATACACCCCGCGTACAACATGTTGCATACACCCCGGACACAACATTGATTTTTCGTCAATATCTTTGTGTACGAACTGTTTTATTAACAGACAATTTGTACAAACGTTTATAAAGTAATCATGCATTTAACAATAATATAAAAGTGATGATAAAGCAAAGCTTTCTTCTGATATTTGATCATAAACACAGTGTAGCGTCAATCTTGCTCCGATCCTCGGAATTGTGTTGAGGTGTTTGATAAAACTAGAAGGTGTCCAGTGGATTCATAGGTATCCATATACTCCTTAGATAATGCTTTCTTCCGTAGGCATATGGTTTCTGGCGAAACATATCCGTAAGTTGAGCAAATGGACAAAGAACCTACATTGACCCCCTTTCTCTCGCTTCGGAGGCATACACCCCGCGCACAACATAGTATACACCCCGCATGTTGGGATATACACGGTGTGATTGATAATATCTACATGTATATATCGAGTAGTTTTTGGAGATAAGATCTTCCAACAATCTGTCGGGAAATCCATGGGTATCTATATTGCGCCCCGTTATTGGCAGACCTATTGATTTTGTATTTATATGAAGTAACATTTTTATAAATTTCTACATGAGAAGAAGAAAACCCTTTTCCATTCACATGTTGACTCTATATATCCTTCTTGGCTGAGGAGCGGATATCCTTAAATTCTATAAAAGATATACATTGTACATTTAGAGTTTTTCAAACAACCCTTGTCTGTATACCTTTTTTCCTGAAGCGACCATGGGGAATCCGCTGCATATTGAGAATAAATTCATCTTGTGTGTCCACATAGTGGTTTTCTGATGGGAAGCCGTTGTAGGCAATAAGGCCAGTCTAATTCAAAGTAATAAATAATCCAATTAGTAAGCGAAGATTTTTTGAAATTATTTAAAATTGCCCTTAATATTATTTTTATCATTTAAAATTTTCATTTATCTTTTTTTTGCTACATGTACAGTGGGATACAAGACTTACAGCGTTCAAGTAAACCTCGGGATCATCGCATCGGGTTTTGTCAGCGCAGTAGACAATTAGAAAGGTTACGAGAATTAATATCCAAGCCATTTTGTAGCTGTTCCTTGCAGATCTAGGCTTATCTTATCTTGACTTATGACTGCGTCAAAAGATAACTGAAGACTATATACTTCTCAAACTGAGGTTTGGATCATGTTGTGAATTTTGAATTAACCGGGTGGCAGTAAATACAAAATTGTTTTAGAATAACTAATGAGGGAAGGTATCACAGAAAAAAAGGTCGAGACACAAACTCGGGAAACAAGCAATTTAAAGTTGTGGACTTTGCATTCTTCTGTCAGTCTGTACAATTCTCGGTTATCCTTGGACTTTCAGTAAGGAGCGGTATTCTCGACGTTACATAATTACACAGCCTTTCATTCACTGTTGAAATATACATTCAGGCGAATGTCAACAAGTGTATCAATGATCCAATGATAGCGTTTCGTATGGCAAAGATGTGGAGCTGAAGTCATCTCATCGTTGTCAACAACAATTTAAAGTTGCTGTTGTTATTAACTTCTAAACCAATGAGAATCTATTCACCATTTGATATGCGTTAATTATGTAGTGTCGAGAAAGTCACGCCCAACTGAAAGTCCTAGATTAACTGAGAATCGTACTAAGCTGTTGTGACAGACAAAAAAAGTTTGTGCAAACCTTTCGTTTTTTTTGGAGGTGGTGTCAAAAATGCATATACGTTTAGTTTTTCATGGAGAAATACATTTTCTGAACATGCACAGGATTTGTAAAGGATGGATATACGAAAAAAATAATACTTGGATCTTCAGAGAGAGAGAGAGAGAGAGTTTGACTGTATATTGTTTAACGTCCCTCTGGAGAATGTTTCACTCATATGAAGAGAGAGAGAACGAACAATCTGACACAGAATGCAAATTTGACGCACTTTTCAAACACACCACGCTATGGGACACCTGACTGATGGGACAAAATTAAAATTTATCTTTAAGATATCTCTTGATTTACGAGATCCTTACACTAGGAAATTATGATATTTATGGAGCTATTTAGTAATATATGTACATATATTACTGTTTTAGTTTAAAAAGCATTTATGAGAGAGCCATCATGAACTCAATCATTCAAATAGAGATTTCTTTCAAACAATTACAGGACTCGTGAATCATTTTCCATCTTAAAGTGCTCGGAAAATGCTATACCAGAATCTGATTAATTTCATGACCTCTTCATTCCATTCAGGGGAAATACTGAATTAGAGAAATGACAAAGTCAAAAGGACTCTTTCCTAGCAAATTGAAACTCTATACTATGTACAGTTCTGTTTAGAGGGAAAATGTAGAGTATAGGGTGGAGGGTAAGGATAATGAAGACTAAAATTGTCGTCATTTCTGAAATATTGAAAATTTGCAACAGTCACTTCAAAAATGCATCAGAACATAAATGATTGTACAATTTCTGATGTTTGAAGCAAATATTACTAAAACCAGTATTTAAGCACTTTTCCTGCATTGCACTCATTACGTCAATATCGACGACAAATGTATCAGCGGGGTCATTTTAACTTGTTAAACATTTTTTGAAGGTCAAAATCAAAATGATATGGAATACGGCTACAGTTGCTCCGATGCACTTCAGGCTATAGGGAAACAACGGAGACGAGCTTACATACATTTGGTATCAGTCTCACCTCCTTTACAAAAGGAATTATACTTCAGTAATATTGGAAAAGTGACATCAACTTGACCAAGCTCAAAAGTGAGCTCGTATAAGTTTTTATGACCCTGTGCCAGGTTGGAAATAACGGTTGCGCGACATAAGGCCACTCCAATTTTTTTCTTTGTTGAACGTCCACATTAGCAGCAGATCTGTAGCTCATTGGTCTGAAAAATTGAGTGGATGACCAGAGAGCTACATTGCCACCCCCAGAAAAAGAAATGGATTCTTTTTCACGTATTTTTAAACAGCATGTTCATATTTTTAAATACAATTTTAAATCTTAATATCAATTTTAGCAAAAGGCCAACGGGCCTTATAGGTCACCTGAGTATCCGTAACAACTTTGCAACAACTGAATTTTATTCGTGTTTTAAACCAGAGGCCATAAATTTCACAATTTTGAAAGAGGCATCATTGCTTATCATAATTATACACTAAGCATGCTTACTTTGGTTACTTAATACCCAGAGGTAGATCAGAGTAACAAAGAGAAAGTGCATTTTACTTTGTAACCAGTTGTGCACCCCATCCCACAGGAACCACTGACCCTGGTGCCACATATTTCAAAATTTTGGAAATTTCATCATGAATTTTATTTCATCATAAATTGTTGATTGATATCAAAATGGGGATTTCAAAGCATTATCTTATTTTCAGACTATGTATCCTTCCAACCTTTCCAAGTACCTCTGACCCAGGGGCCCAGAAATTTACCATTTTGAAAGAGGCAGCTTTCTTCATCATAAATATGTACTTAGATCATTGGCATAATACACAGGAGCAAAGGAAAATATTTTTAATGAATTCATGCATTTTCATTATATAAACATTAGAGCCCTGCCCTAACACAAAAAGACCTGACCAAGGGGCTCTGAAATTCACAAATCTCAAAAAGCATCCTTCTTCCTCATAACTATGTACATACAGTAAAACTTCTCTAAACCGGCCAGCTGCCGGACTGATTAAAATGGCCGGACTAGAGGGGTGGCCGGTTTCCTGAGAATCTAACATACTGAAGAACTGAAAAAAATTGTGACAGATGCTAGGAAAAATATATAATTGGTGTCAGTCATAATTATCTGTCGACTTTTATTTATTATCGGCAGACACGTAATGTATTCTAAAGGTCTTTAAAAAAAGTAAATTATTATTATTGAGGATAAATTCGACATAAGTGCTGATTTTTATTTTTAAAAAATCAAAAAAAGAACAGAAAAAAAAAAACATGGAAAGTTACTTTTATAAACCGGTGCAAAGAAATAAACCATACCCTTTACCTTAACTAGACTATATACAGTATCCATGTACTGCATGTATCTTTCTATCGCTTACGTCATTAAAAATGAGTCAGTGAAAAGTAAGTAATTAAAACATTTCTCAGAAAAACTTCTGTTATTTTAATTATGAAATGTATATTTTGATAATCATTTTATTTGATTTTCTTTTTTAGCATTTTTTAACAATGTCCAATTCTAAGGCCGCTTATGTGTATTTAAAAAGATGATGCAATATGGCTGCGATAATTTGTTGATTCTTTCTGTGATTTAAATTCACTAGTTGCTTGATATTTTATTAATTCAAGTTTAATTGATGCTTAATTATATGTACACAGCTTAGACCGGCCATTTACGTTGTCTGGCAAGATGACTACCCCTTTCAAAACAGTTAAACAATAGAAAACCCTCAGAGGCCATTTCAGTTTTTCACACCTCTGACTTCTGGTGGGTAGGCTATTTTTCACACCTCCGGCCGGTCATAATTACCCCTTTGGCAATGACAGTTATATTTCTTGCAACAAGAAGTGGCCGGTATGATGAGGGGAAATTTCCTATGTTTCTTAAGTTTTGTTCTTGGAAAGGTGGCCGGTGTCCGGTTTTCAGGGGTGGCCGGTTTTATGAGAGTTTATGTGTAAAGAAATGTTAAGAATTTTGCCGGGACTTATAAATTCGGCCGATGTTCAGGGAGAACCGGTTTCCAGGGGGGCCGGTTTTGAGAAGTTTCACTGTAGTTCATTTGTTTAATACCCAGGCCCAGAAAAAAAGATTTTCAAAGAAACAATTCATTTTCACTATCTTTATAGCCCCGCCCTAGCACTAGAACCCCTGACCCTGGGGTCATGAAATTCACAATTTTGGAAGACGCAGCCTTATTCAACATAACAATGGACTTGGTTAGTTTATTTAATGCCCATGAGCAGAGAGGAAGAATTTCAAAGGATTTATGCATTTTCACTACACAATCTATATAGCCCTGCCCTAGCACTAGAACCCCTGACCCTGGTGTCATGAAATTCACAATTTTGGAAGAGGCAGCCTTATTCAACATAACAATGCACTTGGTTAGTTTATTTAATGCCCATGAGCTGAGAAGAAGATTTTCAAAGAATTTATGCATGCATTTTCACTATATATAATCTTTATAGCCCCGCCCTTAAGTACTAGAACCCCTGATCCTGAGGCCATGAAATTCGCAATTTTGGAAGAGGCAGCCTTATTCAACACTACAATGCACTTGGTTAGTTTATTTAATGCCCATGAGCAGAGAATTTCAAAGACTTTACGCATTTTCACTACATAATCTATATAGCCCCACCCTAGCACTAGAATCCCTGACCCTGGGGCCATGAATTTCACAATTTTGGTAGAGGACTCAATGCTGATTACAATCATACCAACAGTTTGACTGCTTGATGTCCAGGAGTAAAGAAGATTTTTAAAGATTGCACAAATTTTAGTGGTTTTGGCCCCATCTCCCAGGACCCAGGGGAGCAGGGACCATGAAATTCAAAATTTTTGTTCCCCTTCACCCATAGATGCTATATGCCAAAATTGGTTGAAATTGGTTCAGCGGTTTCAGAGAAGAAGCTGAAAATGTTAAAATGTTAACGCACGACGAACGACGGACGATGACGGACGAAAATGGATAGCAATAGGTCACCTGAGTTTACTCAGGTGACCTAAAAATTGAAGAAAATAGTTTTTTTTAAAAGTTTAACTAGAAAAAAATGCTTAACGTGTTTTAAATTGGTATATTGTATTGAACCTTGATCACGTGATACTCGTTCTATTAAAATGGTGTTAATGTAATGTATTCAAGATCAATATTTGTACCTTTTTAGGTCACCTGAGTAAACTCAGGTGACCTATTGCTATCCGTTTTCGTCCGTCCTCGTGCGTCGTGCGTTAACATTTGAACATTTTCAACTTCTTCTTTGCAACCACTGAACCAATTTCAACCAAATTTGGCACAAAGCATCTATGGGTGAAGGGGATCAAAAATTGTTAATTTCATGATCCCTGCCCCCCTGGGGCCTGAGGGGTGGGGCCAAAACCACTGAAATTAATGCAATCTTTAAAAAATCTTCTTCTTTACTCCTGGACAACAATCAGTCAAACTGTTTGCACGATTGTAATCAGCATTGAGTCCTCTATCAAAATTGTGAAATTCATGGCCATGGGGTCAGGGGTTCTAGTGCTAGGGCGGGGCTAAATATTTATATAGTGAAAATGCATTATTTCTTTGAAAATCTTCTTCTCTGCTCCTGGATATTAAATAAACCAACTAAGTAAATAGTTATGATGTGCAAGAGTGCTTCTACCAAAATTGTAAATTTTATGGCCCCAGGGTCAAGGGTTCCAGTGTTAGGGCAGGGCTCTATTGATTACATAGTGAAAATACATGAATTCTTTGAAAATCTTCTTCTCTGCTCCTGGGTATTAAATAAACTAAGTGCATAGTTATGATGAGCAAGAATGCCTCTTCCAAAATTGTGAATTTTAAGGCCCCAGGGTCAGGGTTCTGATGTTAGGGCGGGGCTCTATTGATTATATAGTGAAAATACATTAAATCTTTGAAAATTTCCTTCTCTGCTCCTGGGTATTAAGCAGATGAACTGCCTATATAGTTATGATGAGCAAGGGTCCTAATCTTCCAGAATTGTGAATTTCAAGGCCCCAGGGTCAGGGGTACCATAGAGGGGGTGAGGGTGTTGTACTTATATACTGAAAATGAATGAATTTAATTGTTTGAAATCTGCTCCTTGGTATTAATCAAATATTTTTGAAAAGCAACGATGCCCTTTCAAAAATTGTGCAATGTGTGGACCTAGGCCTAAGGGTCAGGGGTTCATGTGTGGTAGGGGCACTACTGATTTATGCTGAATATTACTGATAAGTTAAAATGCATTTTTTGTTCCCCTACCCTGCCTATGGGTATTAAGAAACCAAACTAAGCAACTGCTAAGTGTATAGTTAAGATGATCAATGGTGCCTTTTTCAAAGTTGTGAATGCCATCTGGCTTAAAACATGAATAAGATTCAATCACTGGAAAGTTGTTGCATAATGCTCAGGTGACCTATAAGGCCCATGAGCCTCTTGTTTCTTAATAGTCCTAGAAACATGTTTAAGTTCTTTACTAAGTAAAGCATACAAAAAACAAGAGGCCCACGGGCCTTATAGGTCACCTGAGTATTGTGTAACAACTTTTAAACAATTAAATTTGGTTCATGTTTTAAACCAGAGGCCATGGAATTCGCAATTTACAATTTTGAAAGAGGCACAACTTCTTATCATTATCATAGACTTAGCATGCTTACTTTATTTACTTAATACCCAGAGGCAGATCAGAGTAACAAAGAGAAAATGCACTTCAACTTTATAACAAGTTGTGCACCTCACCCCAAAGGAACCACTGACCCTGGTGCCACATATTTCAAAATTTTGCAAATTTCATCATAAAATGGTTGTTTAATACCAAACAGCACATTTCAAAGCATTAATTTATTTTCAGACTATGTACCCCCCCCCCCCCGACCCAGGGGAGGCATAAAAAATAACCATTTTGCTAGATGCACCTTTCTTCATCATAAATATATATACTTGGATCATTGGCATAAAACCCAGGAGCAAAGGAAAAGATTTTCAAAGAATTAATGCATTTTAACCATATGATCAATAGAGCCCCGTCCTAACACCAGAACCCCTGACCCTGGGGCCATAAAATTCACAATTTTGGGAGAGACACTCTCTCTTATCATAACTATGTACTTAGTTAGTTTATTCAATACCCAGGAGCAGAGAAGATTTTCAAAGAATTAATGCATTTTCACTATATAATCAATAGGGCCCCGCCCTAACACCAGAACCCCTGACCCTGGGCCATAAAATTCAAAATTTTGGAAGAAGCACTCTTGCTCATCATAACTATGTACTTAGTTAGTTTATTTAATACCCAGAAGCAGAGAAGAAGATTTTCAAAGAATAAATGCATTTTCACTATATAATCAATAGAGTCCCGCCCTAACACCAGAACCCCTGACCATGGGGCCATAAAATTCACAATTTTGGAAGAGGCACTCTTGCTCAACATAACTATGTGCTTAGTTAGTTTACTTAATACCCAGGAGCAGAGAAGAAGATTTTCAAAGAATTAATGCATTTTCACTATATAATCTATATAGCCCCGCCCTAGCACTAGAACCCCTGACCCTGGGGCCATGAATTTCACAATTTTGGTAGAGGACTCAATGCTCATTACATTCATGCCAACAGTTTGCCTGCTTGATGTCCAGGAGTAAAGAAGAAGATTTTTTAAGATTGCAATAATTTTAGTGGTTTTGGCCCCACCCCTCAGGCCCCAGGGGGGCGGGACCATAAAATTCAAAATTTTTGTACCCCTTCACCCATAAATGCTGTATACCAAATTTGGTTGAAATTGGTTCAGCGGTTTCAGAGAACAAGCTGAAAATGTTAAAATGTTAACACACAATACGCACGACGCACGACACACGACGACGGACGAAAACGGATAGCAATAGGTTACCCGAGTTACTCAGGTGACCTAAAAAGATATAAACAAAAAAATAACGAGAGGGAGAGAGGCCTCGACGATTTTTACAGCTACTTTGACATAGTATTATAACTAGAGCGTTTGTTAATTAAAAATGAAATGTCGTATTAATTACTCACACCTAATTTTTTTATGTATCACCTCATACTTTTACTGGAAGGGCTTTTTAAGTTCAACTTAAAAATAATGAATGCGTAACGTAGACGTTAATTAAATGTTATTTTATTCGTATATTGTCTGAACTGGTGATATTTTTTTACCTTGACCTTTTTAATATATCCGTGCCCTCATTCTTGTTCAAATGTTACAGTTTAATCATGGCAAAAAATTTATAGAATTTTTTTTAAACAGTACACTGTACATGATACCTGACAAGTATAATAAGATTTCCTCTCATACAGTGAAATTTGTTAATTGAGGCATATTCGATAAGGATATACAGACTAAAAGTTAACAACCTTGTCTGAATTTCATTGCTGATTAAGTCCCACAACCTACTTCCGAGGACTTTAAAAAATTGTAAGTAATCCGCATATGAAATAATCCATGACACACACACACACACGTGTAATTATAACAAGAAAAACTTTGAATGAAAATAATTCAGTTTTCAGTTACAAATTTTATTACAAAACAAACATAACAAAGTAGAAATAGGATAAACCATACTTTCTGAAAGACTTGCTGAAACTTGTAGAAATGGAGAAAATTTCGTGATATTCATTTCTCCACAAATTTCCTCCATTCAAAGCAAGAAATAATAATGAGCAATTTTTAATCGGATTTCATAAATCACGACTTAATTATGTATGTATTTTAAATTCTGCATGATAAATGATAAGACTCTATTAAAATGAAATATTATAATAGGTGCATATTATACAGTTTACATTTCACTTCTTGGGACCGGAATGTAAACGACAAAAACATTCAACAATTAATTCAACAAAAACTTCTTATTAACAGTTTTCTATTTACAAAGAAAGCTATAAAACTTCAAGTGGTATATATCGATATCTTACATGTCCAATTCATAACAAAAATATATTTTGAAAAAAAATCAAATAACAGAACAACGAACAATTGAAAGTAAAAACAAACAAGTAAATAAAATGTCATTAAGTCACAGGTGATGAGTTATTTACAATGACTGTAACAGGAATGTAAACATACATTTGTAATTTCCATGAAATGGAATTGTGGAGACGGCTGTCCTTTTGTTTTTAATTCCGAAGACCGTGTGCCTCGAGGTCTTCATTTGATAATTCTATCCTCCTATAAAAATTCCAGGAGAAGAAATAAAAATAAAATTTCAGTTAATGTTAACTTAATTTAAAAAAAAATTATTTTTGTTTCATTTATCCTTTGATTTACTGAACAATGCTAAATAATTTATAAATAATGTAATATTGTTCAAAGTTACACAATAATTATGTACTTTCAACTCTAATTTTCGCGGAGTATTAATCTACACTGCTTTCGTTGTATGAAGAGATACACAAATTTATGCGCCCTCGGAATGTAAAATTTGAAAAACAAGTGTTTTCTTCCATGAAAAAAAAAACAAGAACAAAAAAAAAAACATGTATTGAAATGCGTTATTTTACGTTATGTTTTGTAGAACCAATGAACAAAAAATGAGAATAAAAATCACTGTGGTACGGCATCCTCGATAGTTGGAAGCGTGGGATAATTTGTATAACGGGCCAAGCTCGAGATCTCATTCTGGGCGCGAGAACTGTTTGTTATCTCTACGTATTTTATGTATCAGACTTGGGGTCAATTACTTTGAAATTAATTACTTTCAAATACATTGATATTTGTCAATTACTTGCAATTACAATTACATTGATTTTTCAAATGTAATTAATTACTTTCAATTACTTTGACAGATGTTATTAAATACATTTCAATTACTTGAGTTTAATTTTTATTAAAAAAAATAATTTTTTTTTAAATAAGATTTTTTCTATAGCGATTGAATTCGAACTTTCATTCAGTGTTTTTGTTCTTGGGTATGAGAGAGGTTCACACCTGGTCAAAAGTAGACCATTACCTTATAATGAGTGTGACACACTGTGTAAACAAATTAAACTTTATGAGACAATTAATTATTGTACACACACAAGCCCATGCTACACCAGTATGGTGTATGGCAAGATTTTTTTGTTACTTTCTCAAATCCATATTTTTGAAGGAAATAAATAATATTTATTACAAATCCATTCATTATAATCTATCTTAAAGTGAATAGAATACAGGTAAATCTAAAAGGGGGTGTAGTTAGTCTAATTGCTGTAAAACAAATTTTAAAACTATCTAAACAATCATTGTTATTTGCAAGTGGGAATAGGGAGAACTGAGATTTATAAAGTATGGGAATAAGTAGTATAAATCCACCAGTATAAAACTGTGTATCAGTGTAAGACACCTTTTAAAATATAAACTTTCATTTTGAAAAAAAAGTAATAGAAATGTAATTAAGTAATTGAAAATACATGACCTTTTTTGAAATGTATTTAAATACATCCAATTACTTATAATTGAAGGCTCGCTCAAATACAAATTACTTCCAATTACTTTGAAAAATGTAATTAATTACACTCAATTACAATTACTTTATTCAATTACCCATCCCTGTTATGTATATTAGCTCATTAACTCCTATAGGCGTCAGAAGCAAATTGAAAGGGGGGAGGGGCTAAACCAACAAAAAAAGGTAAACCCCAATTTTCATTGCCTATATCAGTATTATGTCTATCTTTCCAAAAAAGTGCCCCCCGGTTCTGACGCCTATGACGCCTGACCTTTCGCGTTGCGAAATTTAAATACCGGTAGAATTATCAAGAAATCAACTCACCAAAATTTCAAAGAGTTATCACAGAGAAAACAAAGAGAAATGAAAATAGGCCCTTATCAAACAGTCAGTTTCTTACCCTGATTAAGTCCCCGATGTAGTAATCTGACAATAGCATGATGGCATCCTTGCTGTGACCTTTGTCTAGGAAGGGCACTGTAGCGTCGCTACCCGCATACTCCATTATCACATCTAAACCACCCGGGTGCTGCAAATAAAAAAATTAAATTACAAACTGTAACCAAACGTTTTTCGCGACAAAACACAACAGGTGTAGAGGAACATGGGGGGGGGGGGGGGGGGTATAAATCTTTCACTTTATTCTATATACTAGTATTTTATTTTATTTATTTTAAGTCAATGAACCTTTTTAAAGCTGCAACTCCTCTTTAAAAATTTCAATCTAACAAAGGTGGAGAGGTAGCTTGACTACGATTGATTAATTTAAGGGATTTAGATTGTCTGATTGTAAACCAAAAAGTTTTACCTCGAAGGTAAAGTTAGTAACATCGTAGACTTTATCAGAAACAATGATCCAGCAGGAGTGGATCTCACAATGCTCCGCCACTTCCGCGCGGGAAAACTCCTGGTATCCCTCCGGCTGGGGGTTAATTTTGGTCGCTACACAATCTCCATGTTTCAGTACGGTTACAGCTGCCATAGAGGGTGGAACTGAAAATGAAAAACGTATCTCTGTGACTAAAAGGCGCTCTAATTTTCAAATCACTTGATCAGCACAAAAAATTGAAGTCATTATGCATTCCTTTGTGCATGTCTTTACATAAGGCTTTTTGTTTATGGCCTTAGAAGACGGAAATCTTCCTCGTGAATATTACAATAGCGGGCTTTTTAGACCTGCACAGCGAGGCACTGTTTATGAAGTATCTCTCTAAACCATGCCTATTAACTTTAGAATGACATGTATTTGCTATTAATAAGTTAAACGTGCAATAAAATATGCATTTTTATCTCTACCGATCATAGACTTCGCTGACAAACTTTTTTGTTGGTAAAGCGTCAGTAGTCCCGTGTCTGTCTGTCTGTCTGCTAGTAAAGCGTCGGTCGTCCCTGTGTCTGTCTGCTGGTAAGGTGTAAGTCGTCCCCGTGTCTGTCTGTCTACTGGTAAAGCGTCAGTCGTCTAAGTGTCCGTCCGCTGGTAAGGTGCCGGTCATTTCCGTGCCTGTTGGTCTGATAGTAAAGCGTCAGTCTTCCCCGTGTTTTTCTACGGGTAAGGTATTAGTCGTCCCTGTGTCTGTATGTCTGTCAGTCGGTAATGCGTCAGTTGTCCCTGCGTCTGATTGTTTGCGGGTAAATGTAATGCGTCTGTCTGCCGGTAAAGTGTCACTGGTTCCCGTGTCGGTCTGTCTGCTGGTAAAGCGTCAGTCACCCCTTTGTCTGGCTGTTTGCTAGTTAAATATCGGTTTTCTCCGTGTCTGTCTGTCTGCTCGTAAAACGTCAGTCGTCTGCCTGGTTACTGGTAAAGCGTCAGTCGTCCCCGTCTCTGTCTGTCTACTGGTAAAGCGTCAATCGTCCCAGTGTCTGCCTGTTGAAGCGTCAATCGTCCCCGTGTCTGTCTGTCTGCTGGTAAAGCGTCAGTCGTCCCATTGTCTGCCTGTCTACTGGTAAAGCGTCAGTCGTCCCCGTGTCTGTCTGTCTGTCTACCGGTTAAGCGTCGGTCGTCCCAGTGTCTGCCTGTCTACTGATAAAGCGTCATTAGTCCCAGTGTCTGCCTGTCTACTGATAAAGCGTCAATCGTCCCCGTGTCTGCTTGTCTACTGGTAAAGCGTCAATCGTCGTCCCGTGTTAAGCGTCAATCGTCCCCGTGTCTGTCTGTCTACTGGTAAAGCGTCAATCGTCCCCGTGTCTGTCTGTCTACTGGTAAAGCGTCAATCGTCCCCGTGTCTGCCTGTCTACTGGTAAAGCGTCAATCGTCCCCGTGTCTGCTTGTCTACTGATAAAGCGTCATTAGTCCCAGTGTCTGAATGTCTACTGATAAAGCGTCAATCGTCCCCGTGTCTGCCTGTCTACTGATAAAGCGTCAATCGTCCCCGTGTCTGTCTGTCTACTGGTAAAGCGTCAATCGTCCCCGTGTCTGTCTGTCTACTGGAAAAGCGTCAGTCGTCCATGTGTCTCTGACTGGTGTTTGGTCTACTGGTAAAGCGTCAATCGTCCGTGTCGTGTACTGGAAAAGCTCAATCGTCGTGCCTGCAATGCGTCAGTCGTCCTAGTGTCTGTCTGTCTGTCTACTGGTAAAGCGTCAGTCGTCCACGTGTCTGACTGTCTACTGGTAAGGCGTCAGTCGTCCCCGTGTCTGTTTGCTGGTAAAGGTCAGTTGTCCCCGCGTCTGTCTGTCTGTTAGTAAAGCGTCAGTTGTCCCTGTTTCAGTCCTCTGGTTGGTAATTAACTCTTATTCTAGTAAGTGCATTTGAAACATGTAAACTGTGTGCACGTTATTCTTATAGTTGACTATATACGTTGTTTATAATTTTTTTTAAATAAATCTGACTTTACATACAGTTTTAGTCTGTGGTCAATGAAATCTGGTACACAGCTTTACTATTCTATAATGTTAAAAATATATTCATATATATTATGATCCTTATTTCTAAGACGAAACGTTGTAAATTGACCTTTATTTACATAATAATGTATTATTTTTTGTTAAAAACGTTAGACTCCCCTACAATTTTTGGTATTATTTCAATAATACGAGGTTGTAATCTAAACCACTTTTTTGTTTACTAATTTGACATTTCTATTAAATTTAAGTCAACGCGCCCTCTTTTCATGAAGTACAAAAATATTAATACAAATTAAACAGTAGAGATACGGTCTTGTCAGAGTTAGAATTTTTATTTTTTTATCATATGAAATGAGTTGATATATTTAAAGTGCCATTATTTGTGTGTCTTCATTTTGTCAATGGAATTCGAAATGTCACTGTGACCTAACATACGTATTAACTGCATATGATTCAATTCAACAACTAAATAATCGTGCAAAAATATATCGAAAAATATATTTTCAAATATTTAGCTGAACAGACGATTAAGGACGCAGTAGCTTACCTTAAGTCGCCAAAAAACTTATCATAGATACCATAGACAACGGCACAGCGCAATACAATGAAAAAATACAAACATGTGTACCAGTATTTAGCTTTTGAAGGTGAAGGTTGGGCCATGTGTTAGCCAATCAGATCTCGGATATTCAACACACCTTCACCTATGTAAACAAAACACTAAGCTGGATCAAATAACTCTATTTAATCTTGTTTTGTCAAAATGCTCAGTCTAGGAAGCCAACTATACTGAGAAAACTACTTCAAGCCAGATAGTCCCTGGTGGAATGACCCCCCCCCCCCCCCTCTCCGATCGCGGCTAAGGAAATATATAGAGAGAATGCAAAAAAAAAAAGATACGTATATATTTCATATGTTTAAATATATAGATCGCGCTAAAGGCTAGGGTGACCTAGCTGTTCATGCTATTTTAAGATGAAATTAGGGCTTCCCTTTTTATGTGATATGCAGTGTATATGAAAAGTTAAATAAAATAGATCTAAAAAAACTAATGTGTGAAATTAAAGATCGGTTAAAACATATTGAGAATAACTAAACTGGACAACTCATAGTATAATAAGAAAAATTCCATTATCTCCCATTGTCGGACCCCCCCCCCCCCCTCAAATTTAGAACATCACACGGCCGGTTTTCTCCGTCAAGTAGCGCAGACGTTTTATCTGGCTATAACGGGAGAAGCCGGCAATTTGATATTACACAAGAGATGTTTGTAAAATACTTATGCCCCCCTCCCCTCCAAATTGGAATTTTTCTAAGTCCAAAAGGGCATAACTCTGTCAAAAATGGTGCGATCGTACCCAAAACAGAACTTGACCTAGATATTCATCTGAGATATCTGTATACCAAATTTCATTTCAGTATGTGTAGCGGTTGTGAAATGAACAGAAACTAAATGGACCGACAGACCGACCGACAGCAAAGCAATATGCCCTCCCTTCTTCGAAAGGGGGGGAGGGCATAAAAAATTACACAGGCAATTTAAAACACAATAATTAAATTTGCAAAATTTTACAATCAACTTATGTTTTTGGTTTCATTTGTAAAAGTTTTTTTTTTTTTTTTTTTGGTAAACGTGGGCCCCAGAGTATTAATGCATATAGGCCAAAGGTCAAGGTCAAGTGAACTGTAACGCTGCTTTTTTTTCAATAGGTCTTATGACGAGCAGTGCACTTACCAAATAACACGATCGAAATTGCCTCCAAAAAGTTACAGAATATTTATATATTGACTCTTTAAATGGTAAATTTTTAAAAGTAGGTCAATGGTCAAAATCAAAAGTAGGCCTATTGATGTTGGTAACGCTTTTTTGTCTTTTTAACAAAAGCCTTTACTCCAAACAATATACAGGCCTCATATCAAATTCCTACTTTTAACGATTATCAAGATTCGGATACTATGTCCCTGTCTTGCACCAGCCAATTTTATTGTGATCAATAAAAAATAGACAGATGGTTAATTCTATGTTAAAGAAAAGAAATTTGTCATCTTTTTTTAAAAAAAAATCATTGATATATAATATATTCATTTATACTTTTTTGTAAACTTTGTTAAACATTCCCGAATATTTTAAAGTACAGGGAATCTTTAATCCGCTCCCTTATCTCGGGGGAGGATCATGGCGTTTAAATATGACGGGAGTGGCGTACTTACCGATTGTCCATGTCTTCATCTTTCCCATAGCACTCGCCAACAGTCCAATACCCCGGTTACCTACTGCCGTGTTCAGTTCAATACCCTGGCTTGCTACTGCATTGTTCATTTCGAGCACTGTACCGTTTGATCGAAAGCCGCATTGACATACATTATATGAGCATCGTATGACCTTCGATGCAAAGCACAAGTCATGGGACCTACGATTACCTATTTGGGGGTTAAGGGAAATGTTTTATAAGTCTTTTACATAATTTGTTTATATACATATTTCTTTCAAAGCATAAAATCTAAAAAAAAAAAAATTAGATTTCAATAGAGAAAACAGGGTGTGAAATTATGCTTAAAAATCAAGGATTATCTCTGTCTTAGTACTTCCTCACTCAGTCACTTACTAATAATAGTACTGGAATCCAGTTCCGACTCTCTACACCTATAAACTGATTACAAGTTTCCCCAATGGTTGTCTTTTATTAGAGAATTACAATGCTATGTCAGTCGTAAGTAAATGTTGTATGTTAACACTTCCCTTACACTGTACATATAGCTTGTCACAAGACACAATGCTACATGTAATATTTCCCTTACATGAATAGCATGTCACGATGCTACATGTAACAATTTCCCTCAATTATACATCATGTCACGCGCATATTGCCAGTAGTTGTAATAATCAGTGTGGGTGTTTTTAAAGGAATATTCACTTATTCTCATGCATCTAAATATGCGTCAGTTTATGCATTGAAACAACCTGAACATAATTCAGACTTCGAGCAATCCGAACATCATTCTGTCACGTCGAAAAAAAAATCGATTAAAAAGGCTGTGATGTTCCGATCATAAAACTAGAGGAGTTTCTGTGACATTGAAAATAATCAAGCCTCATATCTTATTCTGGAGGTAGCTATAATTGTCACTGCTTAGTTCTCATCACGCGACTAAATCGTAAAAAAGAAAAACATTCTAATCTTTTACCTTCCGGGTTATCAAGGCCAGTAAAATATACATGTAGTTATAGTTAATTTAATACAGACAAGAATATCCATATCAAGATCTAGAATTGATAATCAATATATTTCCCTCCGTTTTCAGGGGTGGGTGGGTGGACATAAAGCATTCTAAAGACCACTGAATAAAAATTTAAGATCAGAGACATTTCTGGATGAATTTAAAAAAAAAAAAACCAATAACACGTGCATCAGATGCAATGAATAGCTACTGGAAAAAAAACTGCTACAAAAATTTACGGACACACACACACACACACCCTCACACACACACAGTTCGACAGACACGCATGGGTAAAAGTATTTCCCTTCTCCTTTGAAGTTATACACAAAATGTTCAGATCTGTGAAATACAGATTTCTATATATGTAAAAGTAAAAAAAACAAAAAAACAAAAAAAAAAAAAACAAACAAAAAAAAAACGAGATGTCAAAGGGGCATAACTCTGTGAAAAATGGCATGGTCGTACCCAAAACAAAACTTGACCTAGATATTCTTATGATAAATCTGTATATCAAATTTCATTTCAGTATGTGCAACCTCTTCGAAGAAAATGGAACTGCAAATTATTGGAATTTTTTTCTAAGTAACACGAATTATAAGTCTGTTCAAAATGGCCCGATCGTTCCCGAAACAGAACTTGAACTAGATATTATGATAAATCTGTATACCAAATTTCATTGCAATATGCACAACATATGTGAAGAAAATGAATGGAAACTGAAGGGAGACCGAACGACCGACAGACAGCAGCAAAGAAATATGCCCTCCCTGCTTGGAAGAGAGGCATAGAAATATACAACAGTGATCCACTAAAAAAATCAATAAACAATACAGATATGTGAAAAGGGCATAAACACGAAGCAACGGAAATTCCAAAGGTGGGATCAGGTGTCTAAGAGGAGTAAGCATCCCCTATTTATCGATCACATCCGCCGTGATCCCTATGTATAGATCTGGAAGACGGAAAAAGGCCAAGCAATTGGTCATTATCGGCCGATCTATTTGCGATTGTGTTAGAAAGTGCACATGGGGAAATGAGATGTTATTATTTTATTAGTTCAGTAAAATAATTCTCAAATGATTACTTTATAAAATCATGAGTAAAATATTTTAAAAACTTGCTTTAAACGTTGTAATTATGTTTCAATTTCATTATCATTTCGCCTCAGATAATTGATAATTTATGGTTAAATAAAAAGAGTTTACAATAGATACTCCCTATCCTGGGGGTGTGTAAGATACGAAAAGAAACCGTCGTGATTTTCCGGATAATAATGATAAAAGTGCAAAAGTACATGGTGAATAAAAAATTGAAAAGGTTGCTCAACTAGTAAAAACTTGTTTGAATATGCTGTACAGCTGCGAATGACAAAAAGATTATTTTTATACATTTTGCACCGCGCCATGCATCATATACTACTCTGCAGAAACCAGTGACAAAAATCCAGGGTATCAGCACGTGGTTCATCTTGAGAGGCATACATCTTAATTTTGATGACAATAATTTCTCATATAAATCATTGCCCTTTTTTAGATCGATAAATTCATTGGATGAGCAACTGCACTAAAGAAGATGGGGGGATAAGGCGAACGAAATGCCTATCGTGCGACAGATAAGAAGTGGAAAAGAATCTGGGGGGATTAGGCGAGTCAAATGCCCACACGGATTTTATCGCTCTGTATGGGTCAAAAATTTATTACAGATACAAGTGCCTGTAGTAAGCATATCGGAAATTTTATAGTCGTACGATTTACCTGAACATTTAAACTTTGTACAACACTGTCCAAATGACAATATATCTATATTTTTAAATCTTGCGGTTATCGTTTCAGTATTTTTAACATGTGATGCTTTTCATACTGCATGTTAACTGTTCTATGAAATATGTTTTCAGGGGTTTTGAGATGGTACGCTTTACCTTTCCTTTTAACTGTATACAGAACAGCCATATCGTGCTGGTCTACCCATGATTGTTTACATTTCAATCGTGTAATGTAGTCTTGAACTGAATGCATTCAAAATGTTATATATCTTGAAAAGTTGTTTATTATAGGAAATATATTAATTGACCGTAAATAAATTCTTTATCTAAATTATTCATTTTGTTTTTAGTGAAAGAATAAATTTATCTATAAATTTCAACCTGAACTTTAAAAAATCGTGATTCGAACACTCGCGACAAAAAACTGGGTGCTTCAACACCGCCGCCATGACCACTGAGCCACGAAGTCGCACATACATTGCCCTTTAAAGTGACAATACAGCACATCTCTTCAAAAACAGACTTGTTAAAATTTTCCTATAGGATTTGGAATTTTTTTCATACTCATAAATGTATACTCTTTCAGAAAATTACAAATTTCATAAGTAAATAATTCTGATTATTTCATTAAAATTAATAATCATTTATAGTACATAAATATATACATCGCAACGTGTTCCAGGCAATCGCATCATCTCGGGTCTTTCCGTCAGAGGTCAGAAAAACAACCTCGAATGTATTAACATCACCGGATGTCAAAAATTTATAAATTTCCTGTTTATTCAAATATAGGATAAACGGAGTTAAAAGTCCCTTTTATAGTATATCTTAGGTAATATCATTACATTGCATAAAGTTAAACCCCATATTCCACAGATAAAAGGTCTCCATGCATTTATTTCCAAGATCGTGAAAAGGGAGGGTTGTCATGGCGTCTACCACATAAATTCGAGGTCGGAAAGGCCCGAGAAGTTGCGATTGGTGTTCGAGGTTCCACATCCCATGCTATACACGCATGCGTATAGTTTTCATAAACAAAACAGCATGGTAAGAGAGGGAAGCCCGGTAGGCCTGCTACATTGACAAAGTCGACCAAAACGAAAAACAAAACCAAAAATAGGGCTTGATTAAAAAGCAACTTTCCTGACAAAAATTTAGTTGGGAGATTAATGTAATCATTGGATGAAGAAGAAACGGGATCTCGGCGACATTTACGTGGGGCTCGCGAAGGTTCTACCCTACAGGTTTGTTGATACATGCTATCATTTCTCTTATCTCCATGGCTTTCAAAGAAAACAAGAGGCCCATGGGCCTTATAGGTCACCTGAGCATTATGCAACAACTTTCCAGTGATTGAATTTGATTCATGTTTTAATCCAGATGCTATGGCATTCACAATTTTGAAATAGGCACCATTGATCATCATAACAATACACTTAGCAGTTGCTTAGTTTGTTTACTTAATACCCATAGGCAGGGTAGGGGAACAAAAAATGCATTTCAAGTAATCAGTAATATTCAGCATGATCAGTAATGCCCCAATCACACATGAACCCCTGACCCTTAGGCCTAGATCCACACATTGCACAATTTTTGAAAAGGCACCCTTGCTTTTCAAAAATATTTGATAAATACCAAGGAGCAGATTTCAAACAATTCATCCAGTTTCAGTATATAAGTACAGCCCCCCCCCCTCCTTTATGGTACCCCTGACCCTGGGGCCTTGAAATTCACAATTCTGGAAGATTAGGACCCTTACTCATCATAACTACATAGGTAGTTCATCTGCTTAATACCAAGGAGCAGAGAAGAAAACTTTCAAAGATTTAGTGTATTTTCATTGTATAATCAATAAAGCCCCACCCTATCACTAGAATCCCTGACCCTGGGGCCATAAAATTCACAATAATGGAAGAGGCACACATTCTCATCAAAACTAAGCACTTAATTTGTTTATTTAATACCCAGAAGCAGAGGAGAAGATTTTCAAAGAATTCATGTATTTTCACTATATAATTTAAAGAGCCCCCCCCCCTACACCAGAACCTCTGACCCTGGGGCCATCGAATTCACAATTTTGGTAGAAGCACTCTTGCTCATCATAACAATGCACTTAGTTAGTTAATTCAATACCCAGGAGCAGAGAAGAAGATTTTCAAAGAATTCAAGTATTTTCACTATATAATCTATAGAGCCCCCCCCCCCCTTACACCGGAACCCCTGATCCTGGGGCCATAAAATTAACAATTTTGGTAGAGGCACTCTTGCTCATCATAACTATGCACTTATTTAGTTTATTTAATACCCAGGAGCAGAGAAGAAGATTTTCAAAGAATTCATGTATTTTCACTATATAATCTA